GACTGTGGTCTGTTATTTGGGCGATGTGTGATATAGGACCTGAGACAAGGGTCTGTGAGACGGGCGATGTCTGATATAGGACCTGAGACTGGGGTCTGTGAGATGGGCGATGTGTGATATAGGACCTTAGACTAGGGTCTGTAATATGGGCGTTGTGTGATATAGGAAATGAGACAAGGGTCTGTGAGAAGGGCGATGTGTGATATAGGACCTGAGGCTTGGGTCTGTGAGACGGGCGATGTGTGATATAGGACCTTAGACTAGGGTCTGTGATATGGGCGATGTGTGATATAGGACCTGAGACAAGGATCTGTGAGACGGGCGATGTGTGATATAGGCCCCGAGGCTTGGGTCTGTGATATGGGCGATGTGTGATATAGGACCTGAAACTTGGGTCTGTGAGATTGTGATATGTGATACTGCACAACGCAAATCAAACGATGACGTTTATATAACATGACCTTGATCCAGAAACACATTCATACAGATCCTCCCTGGGTTATTCTATTACATTATTTCAACACTCCACCCGTCACGTTTAACAATTCAAGGCTACCGTATTTCCTTTATGAAAGGCAGAGACAGGCAACGTTTTGAAATAAGAGCCGAGTATGCTACAGTTGATGACGTCTCCTATTACAGTAATACAATAAAATACCATCGCGTTTATTAAACTAAACGGATCCTCCTCGCCACAAATACAAAGGGAGTAAAGGCCGGACTTATAATAACAGCCGGTCTGCGATATGGACCGGGTCTAAATGTAAACTGAATATACGAAGGCCCTGATCCCCTTTTCATAAAGCGACAGTTGTGCTCAGACGAGCGGAATGCCAATACTTTAACATAGATTAACGGCAGTCGTAACGCTAAGATCGCTTTGTGGGACAGGACCCTGGTTTCTTTAATAGTTGTGTTTGAAATGGTTGTTTAACGCCGAACTCGGAAATATTCTAGTAACTTTTTTTCCCTGCGGGCTGTGAATACTCGACTTTGGACCAGGCAATCCAGTGATTGACATCATGTGCACCCATCCGCGCAATTGGGATACGATGACATGCAATCAACCAAGTCACTAAGCCTGACCACCCGATCCACTTAGTCGCCTCTCACGACAAGCACAGGTGTCAGGGATCAACCTTCTTACCCAGAATACCCACGGGTGGGGCTCTTTATAGAGGGAATACGGTACAGTGAACTGGATCTCCGTTATCCACCACATTCACAGGGTTGTCCATACTCCATACAACAGGTTAAACCAATTTGCCGGTAAATTCTAATTAATTAAAATCACTCGTAAACTAATGTCGAGTAATGAAATTCCCATATAATTCTAACAGATGTATGTCATTGTCTCTACACAAAAGGAAGTGTCCAATTGTTCGCAGGCTTATAAACACTATTTTCATCCGTGGTGGAAGTATTAATGTAATGCTGGTGGCAAACGATTGGTATATAATTTTCAGACATTAATCCAATAACCTGAATAATGAGACCAACATTCGGCTTCACAGCCCGTTATAGAGGGGTGTTCGGACTCTGGAGGTTTACGTCCTGATAGTTATTTCACGGTTATACAGTCCTGGCACACATCTTACATAATCAATAAAATATAAACAAGGAAGTGTTTTATCAGAATGTAAATGATCAACTTGTATCTGGACGGCCGCCTCGACATATCCGTCTCGATAATGACATTGGTATATTTCTGTGGTGACATGGCCGGCTAATGTTTCTTGTTTCCGAATCGTAGCCTACAAAAGCAGTTCATATCACATAAGTGGTCAGTTCTACCATTTGTGCTGTACAAAGATCGGCACCACTACCGTTACCACTACATAATATCAATCAAATTATTTGCATATTTACCTTCCTCATCTTGCCTGCCCCGTGCCCTTTGACCTCCGCCAACACGTGACCTGGTTATCCTCACCTCGGAAGTTGCTTTTATCACTAACAAACGTACCGCACGAACTATTACGGATTATTTTTGCAGCATAGCAATGTTCGGCTGTGTCTTCAGTGAGACAGTCTCGTTTAGTTTTACATAATGATTGTGCCTAGATTAAATTGAATCTCGCTTCAGAGTACAGCGTTAGCGTAAGCGAGAGGGGCCCTTTTAAGTGGCATTCCGGGCGCCGAGCCCTGTTGAGTGGTATTCCGGATGCCGAGCCCTGTTGAGTGGTATTCCGGATGCCGAGCCCTGTTAAGTGGTATTCCGAGTGCCGACCCTTGTTAATGGTATTCCGGATGCCAGGCCCTGTTAAGTGGTATTCCAGATGCCGAGCCCTGTTAAGTGGTATTCCGGATGCCGAGCCTTGTTAAGTGGTATTCCGAGTGCCGAGCCTTGTTAAGTGGTATTCCGAGTGCCGAGCCTTGTTAAGTGGTATTCCGAGTGCCGAGCCTTGTTAAGTGGTATTCCGAGTGCCGAGCCTTGTTAAGTGGTATTCCGGATGCCGAGCCCTGTTAAGTGGTATTCCGGATGCCGAGCCCTGTTAAGTGGTATTCAGAGTGCCGAGCCTTGTTAAGTGGTATTCCGAGTGCCGAGCCTTGTTAAGTGGTATTCTGGATTCCGAGCCCTGTTAAGTGGTATTCTGGATTCCGAGCCCTGTTGAGTGGTATTCCAGATGCCAGGCCCTGTTAAGTGGTATTCTGGATTCCAAACCCTGTTAAGTGGTATTCTGGATTCCGAGCCCTGTTAAGTGGTATTCCAGATGCCGAGCCCTGTTAAGTGGTATTCCGGATGCCAAGCCCTGTTAAGTGGTATTCCGGATGCCTGGCCCTGTTAAGTGGTATTCCGGATGCCGAGCCCTGTTAAGTTGTATTCCGGGTGCCGGGCCCTGTTAAGTGGTATTCCGGATGCCAGGCCCTGTTAAGTGGTATTCCAGATGCCGAGCCTCATTAAGTGGTATTCCGGATGCCGAGCCTTGTTAAGTGGCATATCGGATGCCAAGCCTTGTTGAGTGGTATTCCGGACGCCGAGCCTTCTTAAGTGGTATTTCAGATGCCAAGTCCTGTTCTGTGGTATTCTGGGTGCCGAGCCCTGTTAAGTGGTATGACGGATGCCGAACCCTGTTAAGTGGTATTCTAGATGCAAAGCCCTGTTGAGTGGTATTCCGGGTGCCGGGCCCTGTTAAGTGGTATTCCGATGCCGAGCCTTGTTAAGTGGTATATCGGATGCCAAGCCTTGCTGAGTGGTATTCCGGACGCCGAGCCTTCTTAAGTGGCATATCGGATGTCAAGCCTTGTTGAGTGGCATTCCGGATGCCGAGCCTTGTTAAGTGGCATATCGGATGTCAAGCCTTGTTGAGTGGCATTCCGGACGCCGAGCCTTCTTAAGTGGCATATCGGATGTCAAGCCTTGTTAAGTGGCATTCCGGATGCCGAGCCTTGTTAAGTGGCATATCGGATGTCAAGCCTTGGTGAGTGGTATTCCGGACGCCGAGCCTTCTTAAGTGGTATTTCAGATGCCAATCCCTGTTCTGTGGTATTCTGTATGCCGAGCTCTGTTAAGTGGTATGACGGATGCCGAACCCTGTCCAGAGGTATTCTGGATGCCAGCCCTGTTTAGTGGTATTCGGGATACCCCAGTGCAGTACGCTGGATGCCATGAAATGCTTATCTGGTACGCGGGTGTCAAAATAAAAAAAATGTTTTACAATTGCCGTACCGCCATTGATTTATTAGATGCAGACAGACACGCCGCAAACCTATCATTGTGGGTTCGAATCCCAGTTCGACCCGATTATGTTTCTAGGTTTGTCAGCACCATATCCGTGCTCGTGGGTTTCACCGAAGTGGTAAACGTCTAAGACCTGCATCCCTTCGGGCTTTCCTCCCACATTAAGCTGACACGCCGTGATAAAACTGGAAAACTGTTAAAAGCGGCGTTGAACCCAACTCACCCACTCACTCAATATATATCACCTTAACCATAGCAATTTCATCAGAATTTGTTTTTTATTAAGATTTCTCACCCTCTGTTCAAATATCCCAAATTATCAAAAAGGGAATTACAAAAGCTGAGGGGACGTCGATCAATAACAATGAAGAAATCTTCGCATCTTCGTACCACGTAAATGTTGTGTAGGATGGAAGCAAGCTGTCATTTTGGATGGCCTCACCCCCAGCTGTATGGCAGGTAGGCTGTTGTACCTGGGGTAATTTGGGCTCTTGCATACGTTAAATATTGATTAAAGTGCTATTTTCTTTCAGCATTTAGACCGCCTCCGTCTAGTGGTAGAGCGTCCGGCGGAAGGTCCGGGGTTCGATCCCTGGCCGCGTAATACCAAAATACATTAAAAGATGGTACTTGTTGTTACCCTGCCTGGCGCTCGGCATAAAGGGGCTAAAACAAGGCTCGGAGTCGGTATACTGTGTCTGAGTGGGGTATTCATGTAAAACTGAGGTAACATATCTCAGTGAGCTAGCACTATAAATCGGCATCAGTCCGGACTAGTACAAGCAGACACACAAATACACACACGTACATGCACGTCGCTATATAAGTGCAATAATCTTGGACGCGACCTTAAACCCCATTTCACCTCACCCAACCTTTCAACATTTATTATTTACAAATGTATTTCCTTCAATATAACACGAAGATATCGGGTGTGACACAAAAGTGCACTCCCAGCACGGTTATCAGCTGAATTACATTTTATCGTAATTGCGTAAAACAACAACAGAAATACCACATACACACACGACACATTTGTGCCACGGTTGAATGAAAAAAATAAACAACTTTATTTACATTAATTAGACGAAGGTTTGATTAATATTCGTAGCTATACATTCTGTTTCCTGTCCGGAAACACATATTTACACTCAATGACGCTCTCTGTACAACAACCAGCTAGACATGGGACAGTCTTTACACTGTGCGGCCCTCTGAACACGATCGGCTCTAAGGCGGTTACGGAAAATTGCGAGGTTGGCCGAAAGACTCATTCGTGACCAACTCGTGTTTTTTGGAAAGAGGCGAGCGGTGACGAATGCGAAAGATTGTGGAGCCGCTATTTCAAGGGAGACAACTCTTACACACGCCATGGCGCCTACCAAGATCACTGGTTGCATTGTCAAAGATCTCCGTTTTCCAACTTCACTCGAGAAGGACGGATCGGACGCTGTGGTATAGTTTGGCATTTAACACATTTCTATGAAAATATAAAATTATTTGCCAAGTATGAGAAGGAAATTACTACTATATAATTCACATTGGGCTATAGATTTCAACTCGGATTTGCACTGCCTGAATTTTCTTAATATAACAAACTTCAAACATTGTTTGTTGCGTGTTTATTCACTGACATATTTATTAAATGGTATGACAAACTCGTCTATTATATTATCTTGTTTAATATCTATCTGGGACAAGGTCGCGTCTTAATCGTGAAGTATGACTGAGCAACTCTCATGCTGATTAGCCAAAGTCGGCGTATCTGTAGGGAGTGAGTGAGTGAGTGAGTGAGTGAGGTTTTACGCCGCTTTTAGCAATTATTCCAGCAATATCACGGCGGGGGACACCAGAAATGGGCTTCACACATTGTACCCATGTCGGGAATCAAACCCGGCTCGTCGGCGTGACGAGCGAACGGTTAGGCTACCCGACCGCCCCGCGTATCTGTAAGTGCAAGGTGTAGTTCGAAGCAATCACGAAAATTCTTTAATTCATGCAATAAACCACGGCTTCTCTCCATTCAATGCGTCGGTTACAATTACAAATCTTAAAGTTGGATTTTAATCGAAAAAATTACGATTTATAGTTCGAAAAGGAATCTGTCTTTGTGATATGAACATCCCTTGTATAACATCAGAGGACCCGTAATCCAAGCAAAGGAAATGCCTTATGCGCTAAACCTTTCTGTTTTTCCTACATTGAACCAGAACAAGGAGCCTGACTACAGTGCGGGGTACTGCATTCTGAAGACTGACTCGAGTCTTGAGGGGCATGGGTTCACCTTCACTTGTGGAAGGGGCACTGAAATAGGTAATGTAGCGACATGCTCCGGGGCATTGTGACGTAGTGGTTAACTATGACTTACATGGAGCATGAGTGAGTGAGTGACTTTGGTTTAACGCCGCTTTGAAAATTATTTCTGTTACGTCACGGTATGTTAGGAAGGAAAGTCTGAATGGTGCAAATCGTAGACGTTGACCATTTTAGTGAGACTAACAGGCAGTGGAGTGATGCTGACAAAATTGATATTCAGGGGGAATCTGGGATTCTAGCACGCATAAGGGACGCAACTCTGCACAGCGGTACAGATAGTGTGGGAATACAATATAGTGAGTGAGTGAGTTGGATTTAACGCCGCTTTTAACATTATTCCAGTTATTCGCGGCGTGTCAGTTTGATGTGGGATGAAAGCCCGAAGTGATGCAGGTCTCACACGTTTACCACTAGGGTGAATCCCACGAGCACGGGTATGGTGCTGACAAACCTAGAAACATAATCGGGGCGAACCAGGATTCGAACCCACAATCATAGGTTTCTGGCGTGCCCAAGGGACGCAACTCAGCACAGCGAATCGCGGCGCCTTAGTCGACTGGGCCACCCGTGCCCCCGAATACAATATAGATTTTAGTTACTGTTATACAGCTACTGACTTGTTGTATTTGATCCGAGTTCAATCACTTGCAGAAATATACATTTTGATTTCAAAATTGTAGAAGTCTGTAAATTTCAATTGCAATACATACTGAATGTGAAATTGAAAAGCGAAACCGACATACATCCCAGCATGCTCTTGTTCCAGTATGCACGGCCATCAAAGCACTGAGCAATCTGGTGGTTGGTCAAAAGCTGTCCGCCATCTTTGCCGACTTCGCCAGTTTCTGGAGGTCTTTGACGAGCGAGGACCAGATGAGATGGGTGAGGGAAGTGATATGTGTGATATAACTTGGATTCAGTTATATCGGGATGTGGGAGGAAAACCTGAAGTGATGCAGGATAACTGGGGTAATATTCATTTTGATAGCAACATTTCTTATACATTCTCTCTTGATTTGTTGGGATTCCGTGTCAGAATAGGCATGTCGCAAAAGCCGACTCGCTGAGATGGCTTTGTTGACCCTCCCATTTGGAAATAACATATGGAACCTTATAACATGAGTGAGTTTGGTTTCACGCCGCTTTTTACAATATTCCAGCAATATCACGGCGGGGGACACCAGAAATGGGCTTCACACATAATACCCATAAGGGGAATCAAACCCGGGTCTTCTGCGTGACGAGCGAACGCTTTAACAACTAGGCTACCCGACCGCCCCAGCTACCATTGGAATTGATTCGTGTGTTTCAACTTTACGAATTCTTAATTGCAGTGATGTTCATGTCGAAAATTCTCTTTGCTTAATGACATGAAAACATAACACTTGTTTCGTTTAACATGAAATACTGAAATCTATTACTTTGGTAAAATCATTCCATTTCTCCGAGTAAATATCCGAAATTTAGATTCCAAAACATGCTGCAAATAACGCCGTGAGTAGTGATTTAGTAATGTGTAAAAAATAGCGACATTTACGATGTACCTAATTTTCAGAGGTCATTTTCAGTACTTTTGCTTGGCCTGAAATGCCAGTGGATGATATCACAGAAAAGGGAATTTCCCACATTATTAAAAAATGTGAAGTGTATCTGTGTGCGTGATGTATTTTGAAATGTATTCGACTTCAAAGTGGGGTCTGAAGAGGAGGGACATATATTATACAGTGTGTTACAATATCTCCAGTATATTATGATAAATATGCAAGCTCCTCGCAGCGACTGCCCGTTCGCGGAGCTCTTTATACTATCGCTGCCACCAGTGAAAGCTCCCGTCTGTGATGGATGGCCACTACCATGCTTGGAGTTGAACTCGCAACCGACTGACTGTCATGTTTACAAACAAGTGATGACTGTCGTGCCGCCGAATACTCTTTCTCCAGATAAATTATTGTCTTTGTTTGTCAGTTTGAATTTCTGTTTCATTACAATTATCTCGTAAATGGTGAAGTAAGAATGTAAGGGGGAAGTTGGCTGATTTTCCGTTCGTCTGCGACCTCGAACCATTCTGATTGAACAAACAAAAGGTAAATTCATCTGGAAATATGGTCAGTTGTTAACCTTTTTAAAAATTCACTATGATGGCATTTCCAAAGACATAAACAAAAGATTCTTGTAATTGCCGTTTCGACACTGGCGGCTGCGATGTTACCGAGAGTGAGTGAGTGAGTGAGTTGGGTTTAACGCCGCTTTTAACAGTATTCTAGCTTAACGTGTCAGCTTAATGTGGGAGGAAGGCCTGAAGGGAAGCAGTCTCAGACGTTTACCACTTCGGTGAAACCCACGAGCACGGGTATGGTGCTGACAAACCTAGAAACAAAATCGAGGCGAACTGGGATTCGAACCCACAATCATAGGTTTCTGGCGTGCTCAAGGGACGCAACTCTGCACAGCGAATTGCGGCGCCTTAGACAGCTGAGAGTGTAACGAAGGTGTCACACGCTGAAAAAAAGCTTGGATAAATAACCTGGACCCATGGTGACGTATCAAAAGTGACGTCACATATCTTAACGCAGAATTCGCTTGTGAGAGAAATTTGATTGGATAGCTATTTTCAGCGTCGTGCGATTCACTAGGGTTTGAAGCTAAAGAGAATGGAGAAATAATACACTGAACAATCGAGGATGATTAAAGTGTTTCACTTGCCACAGCTCGGCCCCGAGAAGGGGATCATGCACCTAGCTGTGGCGGCCATCACTAACGCTGTGTGGGATCTCTGGGGCAAGGTTGAAGGCAAGGTAAGGACTAGACTGGTTCCACTGTTCGTTTGCGCATCACTCTCAGCGCTTGAAGGCAACAGGCTGCAGCCAGAAATTGTGGTACAAACCTACACCATAAACGCATGTAGCGACCAGAACTGCGTTATACAGTCCACAATTTCGTAAAACCCAATTTATAAGTTGTAAATGTAATAAAAGACCCTAGTGTCGATGTTGATTCAGCGAGGCAAAATGACAATAAAGCTAATCGTCTTTTCACTGTAGATATATATGTTTACCTTTGCATTTTCACATTTGTGATTTGTTTGTTGTAATCCCTCTTTCTCATGTCTGTCTTTAGCCAGTTTGGAAGCTGCTTGTTGACATGGTAAGTGTTTTAATTTAATACCCTGGTGACAATTTTGGCTTGCCTAAACTTTGAATTCAAGTGAGCATATGTCGTAGCGCACTGTCCGTTGTCCATTCGTCTGTAAGTCGCAAACGTTTTCATTATCGACGTTTCCTAAAGGTTTATGAAGCTGTATCTGCGGTCTAGTGGATAGAGCGTTTGCGCGGAGACCTGGTTCAGGCGGTGGTTCCATCCCCGGCCGTGTCATACCAAAGGGCGTTAAAAGATGGTACTTGTTGTTACCCTGTCTGACAGTCGGCACTAAGGAGATAGAACAAGGACTGGTCGGATCGGAGTCAGTATACTGTGTTAAACTGCGGCATGGTATCTCAGTGGGCTAGCACTATTAAACATGCAATAGTCCGGAGCAGTACAAGCAGCCACTCACGACGCTATGCAAGTGCAATAATCTTGAATACGACGTTAATCCTCATTTCACCTCACCTATGAAACTGAAACCTTTGCAAGGATTATCCAAGCTACAGTTTCTGATTACACAGATCCGAGTTTTCATTACTGATCCATACCTGCTTGTATCTTTATGAATGTGTGTGCAGTATGTATGTTGCATGAGAAAAATATATAACGTTTTTTTTTATCCAGTTGCCATGCTTAACCTTCACATACCCCCCAATCTAGTTATACTGTCATTACGACCTCCCAATCTGAAACCTTGAATCTATAAATTGTGTATATGATCCTAGCAGTGATGGCTTTACTTATAACTCACAGAATTGTGATCACAATTGTCACATGAAGGCCGCGGCAGCCATGTTGGAAAATAATCATTTCTCCACGTATAGTTGTGAGATATTCATGTTTTGTTGTTGTTGTTTTGATTCTGTCCTTTCTTCAGACACCAGAACAGTTGGTGAACACCATCGACTTTCGCTACATGTGAGTGATTACATGACCTTTAGGGCTAGCTGTTGTCATGTCAGACATCAACTGACATTAACTAAGCACGTCTTCACGTTAAACATCACGTCACCACACCGAAGTCTATGCAACGTCTTCACGTTGAACATGACGTCATCTACAACGACGTCAAAGCAACGTCTCCACGTTAAACATCACGTTATTCACACACACGTCTAAGCATCGTCTTCAAGTTGAATATCACGTCATCTACAACAACGTTAAAGCAACGCCACCTGTGTAGTTTGTAGACGCCTAGGTCAAGAAGTCTATATTTCTAGACCATGGAACCACATCAGAAGGGCTATCAAATATCTGATGATAACGTATCTACATCCACGTGATAATCCATCATAATGCTTAATGATAAGTGACCGCGTACTAGCGTCCATATACTAACGGGATCGGGTGGTCAGGCTCGTTGACTTGGTTGATGAATGTCATCGTATCCCAATTGCGTAGATCGATGCTGTTGATGTCAATCACTGGATTGTCTGGTCCAGACTCGATTATATATAGACCGCCATCAAATACCTTGAATATTGCTGAGTACGGCGTTAAACAACAAGCAAACAAACAAACCAAGGCCCATACTCGTAAATAACCCGCTCCCAACCCTCGTGTGGATTCTGGGTTAGAATAGTTCCGCAGCAACCTGTGTTGGTCGTAAAAGATTACAAACTTTGTGACTTGGTTGATTGCCTGTCGTCTTAACCCGACTGTGTGGATGTTGCTCACAATATCAATCAATTATGATAAGTGACCGCATACTAGCATCCATCTTCAGAGCGATAGTTATTGAAAAGAACAACTTTATTTTGTGAATGAGCGAGTATGTTCTTAACAACCTATTAGCAATATTCCAGAAATATCGCTCAGGAGGGATTAGAGTGAGTGAGAAACATAATCGGGGCGAACCGGGATTCGAACCCACAATCATAGGTTTCTGGCGTGTCCAAGGGACGCAACTCTGCACAGCGAATTGCGGCGCCTTAGGCGACTGGGCCACCCGTGTGCCCCCGGAGGGACTAGAAATGGGCTTCACACACTGTAGGGAACCAAATCCGGACATTCGGATGACGAAAGAACACTTTTACTCTCAGGCAGGACATCGCCCCAAAACATTTCTTCATAAAAACTTATTTTGGGGAACATCTGGTTTCCGGTTCCGTTGCAGCCGACTCTTGAAGATCCGGGGTAGAATAAGTCTTCAGCAACCCATGCTTGCCGTAACAGGCGACTATGCTTGTCGTAACAGGCGACTAACGGGATCGGGTGGTCAGGCTCTCTGACTTGGTTGATGCATGTCATCGATCCCAATTGCGTGGAACGATGCTCATGATATTAATCACTGGATTGTCTGGTCCAGGCTCGATTATTTACAGACCACTGTCATATAGCTGGAATATTGCTGAGTGCGGCGTTAAACAACAAACCAGCCAACCAGCCGTTGCAGCCGAAAATAGTATTTACATTATATACTCACCTACAAAAGAAGCCAAACATTACAGTTTGGTTAATATATGAAGAATTACCCATATTCAAGAGATATTAGATTGGTTCGATTCACAATCGAACATACTAATGTGTTGTGTGAACCGACGTTCAAATGTGACGTCATAGATCCATGACTCGAGATGCATCATTTGCCTCGTGCAGGATCAGCGTGTAAAGTTTGGACTTCACGTGTAGCATATCGTGATAAGAATAAAGACACGCTGTGGTAACAGTTGACTGATTGTTAGTATTGCCATTAAGTGATGCACACTGGAAACACCTCTTCTTAACGTACATACTTCTCTATATGTTTCTATGGTTCGCGTTTCTTTTGGCCGTGAGTATATATAGGTTTGTGGATTGCTGCTGTTTCAGGTCGGATGGCTTGCCAAAGGAAGAGGCTCTTGGTAAGTGAGTGAGTGATTGAGCGAGTGTGGCGGTGAGTGAGTGAGTGGATGAGTGGAAGACCTTTTACTACAATATCTCTCAACTTGAAGATCTGAGCACGCATCCAGAGGCAATATCGTTAGAATCAGATCTTTTACTCCGATAGGATATCTCTCTGTTGGATCTGAGTACACCTCCAAAGGAGGTCGCATCAGGTGAACTTTCCTCTCAGCAATTCAGCGTTTCGGCTTCTATCTTCACGGTACGAGTGAGTGAGGCTTTCCAAGAAGCCATGAACACGAAAATAATCGAGTAATTCCGAATGCAATGAAAATAAAGCTGCCCTTAAATAACGTTGTGGATAATTTATACAAATAATCGATTTTGAGTACCATTATATCTACACATTAAAGGATGTCCTAACTAGGGTATAATTGTGTTCTGTGACAGTTTTTTGTCACTAAGCTCGAAACTGTTGAATCGATAAAGCCGAATCGTTTAAGAAAGCTGACATCTGATTGGATCAAGAATCAGGCAACCTTCACTTTGATTGGGCGGTCAAAGTTTGCTCAGGGTTCGCCTGACGCTACTTTCTATGTTATATATATTCTATATATTAGTTTACTTTCGATTCTACCTGAAATATTCAAGATATAAAAAAGACACATATGTGTGTCAGAATGCTTCCCTCACACGTCCTGATAATTTAGAAGCCGCGACGCTGATTGGCTAGTTAGAAAATTCACCTGACGTGACCTTCAGAGAGGTATCATATTTGAGAGAAAGCTCAGATTTCAGTGACGTTGGAGCGGGACGATACCGTTCGCATTACTGTTATCTCCATGGTAGTTTCGGGGCGGTCGGGTAGCCTACTGGTTAAAGCGTTCGCTCGTCACGCCGAAGACCCGGGTTCGATTCCCGACATTGGTACAATGTGTGAAGCCCATTTCTGGTGTCCCCCGTCGTGATATTGCTGGAATATTGCTAAAAGCGGCGTAAAACCATACAAACTCACTCACTCACTCCATGATAGTTTCAGACTGCGTGTATCTGTGACTAGGTCTCTGGTGAACAACTTGTCATTTAAAAGCGCCTCATTATACCGGCAAACACCAGAAACATGTGGCATGATGCTGCTGCTGCTGCTGCTGCTGCTGATGATGATGATGATTTTCGACCTGTAAGTAATTTCTGGTTCGTCCTCTGTTGCAGCACTTCTGCAGCGTATGGAGCCGGGAAAACAGGAAAGAGGTATATATATAATGTCGCTACTACCAAAGCCCATGACCCCTGAAGATCCGGTTAGAAAAGGTCTCCAGCAACCCATGCTTGTCGTAACAGGCGACTATGCTTGTCGTAAGAGGCGACTAACGGGATCGGGTGGTTAGGCTCGTTGACTTGGTTGATGAATGTCATCGTATCCCAATTGCGTAGATCGATGCTGTTGATGTCAATCACTGGATTGTCTGGTCCAGACTCGATTATTAATAGACCGCTGTCATAAAGCTGGAATATTGCTGAGTACGGCGTTAAACAACACGCAAACAAACAAACCAAGGCCCATACTCGTAAATAACCCGCCCCCAACCCTCGTGTGGATTCTGGGTTAGAATAGTTCCGCAGCAACCTGTGTTGGTCGTAAAAGATTACAAACTTTGTGACTTGGTTTGATTGCCTGTAGGCAGTGTGGATCGTTGCCCACAATATCAATCACTGGATTGTCTGGTTCAGACTTGAGTATTTACAGGCCGTGGTCATATAGCTGGAATACTGTAGGAGTGCGGCGCTAAACAACAAACAAACAAAAATAGACATAAACACTGTATGAGGTGTAACATGTACTGTAAGGGACAATTCTTTCACACCCATTTTCATTCTTGAATTAAATGTTGTAATAGATGCCATATGAATGTTTAAAATTCAGACATTGTCTCTGCTTTATAAGGATAACCCGTTTCAAGGATTTATATCAAAGAATAACGTTAAGCGGAGTAAAAAGAGATGTATATGGATTTGAATAAAATGTGCTGTGACTGCCATTTTCCCCAGGTCAAGCCCGCCTTTAAGGACAGGTCTCGCGCAACGTTTTATTCATCTGCGCAACAGAATTCGTTTTCAAAGGAATTTAACAACTTCCGGTGTTCGACTACGATGTTTCAAAACTTAACAAAAAGTTAACTTCACCCTGATACTATCGACACATTCTTCCTATTGACATAAATTGTTCAGTTGCCTCAAAATGCCGTTCAATGTCCTATTTTACAACACTGACAAATTTCGTAATGGCGGAAAATTTAGAAATGACAGAGGCCCTAGATGAGAACATGAGCAACTATAGGCAGTTAAACGTGTCATCAATAAGCAATTTCCTTTGAATGTTTTGCGGCAAACTGAAAATGAAACTCTCATCCGGTCATAGTCTATTCGTTCGCACAGAAAGCCGTACCGTTTTCAGGAAGTATTTGGACACGAGTAAGTCTTCGACCCAAGGTGATTTTCTGAGCAGATGTTGATAAAGACAGAACAAAAACAACAAAACAATCATCTTGGTTCACATACATGCACATACTGCAATAGTTTGAAGATAGAAAATTCGATATGTTTCGCTCAGTTTAACCCTACTTCCATACCTCTTGGATTTTTAACAAAAATAATTTGTTCCCCACAAAAAAGTAATGTACTAAGTGTTTACCCCATATTTGGACAAGCTGGATGTCCTGAATAAAAACTTAAATTAAAGAATTAATTTGCCGAAAGAATATTTTCCGGTTTGGAAGCAGTGACAGAAAAGTGTAACATCAATCCCAAGCCACGCGATCGAATATGAAATGGTGTGTCCCTTGTAGAAATGATGTTGGACGTATCAATGGGATTTGGGGCCAAATGGGGATCTGCTTGCTTACCATTACAGAACGCAACATCCTCCGGAACGGCTTGCCCTGCTACATCACCTCCTTCGGCTGGCTCGGCTACGACGACGACAAGATAAGGAGGGTAAGCGTTCTTTCATCGTTTTAGATGACGCTCGGGGCTTTATTAAGGAAGAATTAAAGAAAAAATCCATGTTCAAATACCAGCATGCGTCATTATTTTTCATGAATTCCTCAAGCGGGGATAAGTCATCTTCCCCAGACAATGGCGTTAACTGACTATAAAAGTATGGAATTTCCAGGCTCGATTGTAGCGCCCCTAGTAGCTATTACGACTTATGTCCCTTCTTTGTCACTCCTTTTGACCAATCAGATTTCATCTCTCATATCACTTACATTTGCTTCAAACAAAATGGCGGCGCCGAGCTAAGACGATGTGATTCCTAATCAAGATCGATATTGTAATAAAACGAATCTTACTTCGCGAACAACATCAGATCATTTGAGCACCTTGATTAAAAACATGAAAAGATTTGCAAAATAACTCTCTACGCCCAGTTGGCTGTTCACATGCTTTGCAAATCATGCAGTCGCCAGTTGACACCCTTGCCTCTGGAAGATGATAGGGAACCGTGGCCTAGTAGTTAGAGCGTCTGCACGGAGGGTGGAAAGTCGGTGGTTGGATCATTGGCCGCGTCATACCTACATACATAAAAAGATATTATTTGTTGTTACTCCGCCATTGAGGGGATAAAACAAGGATTGGTCGACTCTTGAGTCAGTACACTCTGTTTGAATAGGGTATTCATGTTAAAACTGCGACTTTGTATCTCAGTGGGCTAGCAATTTAAAACGGATTATTAGTTCAGACTTATACAAGCAACCCCACCCCCATTCCCCTTTAACTGATAGATTTACATTAGGGATTAGAGACAATTCAAATTGATACCACGACGATAATCCTTGTTTGTAGCGCTGTAGAGAAGTCATGGCGAAAGGATTTACAAGGTAAAACGAACTGACGCAAATACAGTTGATGGAACCGATCTAATATGTTTGATGTTGGCCCATGCATACTGCACAAATTGGCTTTCAGGGTAGGGTGAGTAAGTTGGGTCTAACGCCGCTTTGAACAGTATTTCAGTGATACGTCAGTTTATTAGACTGACGTGCGAGAAGATTCCGTTCACCACTTTGGGGACACCAACGAGAACGTGAATAGTACTGAAAAACCAAGAGTCAGTGTCAGGTCGAATCTGGGATTCGAACCAACAACCATAGTATCCTAACATAAGGGACGCAATTGAGGCGCCTACGATCAAGAATGACATGCACAATCGTTATAACGCTCGTATGATATGAAAGTCTCGACTATTTATTAAATTCTTTGTTAAAAGTTGAGACAGTAAGTAAAGAGTATTCTCCCCTGTTTGTTTCACAGATTCAAGGCCAAGGTCGGAGGAACGTTGGAAGACGACGTTCGACGTCTCGCCATTATCAGGGAGGAGATCGGTCCAGACGCCCTGCTGGTGAGAGCCTTTCAGACGTGAAGCCTTTCACGTGATGAGTCACGCATATGTCCATGACGCATCAGTGAGTGAGTTTGGTTTAACGCCCTTTGAACAATATTCCAGTTACATCACGGCGTGTCAACTTGATGTGGGAAAAGCCCGAAGTGATGCAGGCCTCAGACGTTTACCACTTTGGTGAAACCCACGAGCACGGTTATGGTGCTGAGAAACATAATTTGGATTCGAACCCACGATCATAGGTTTCTGGCGTGCCCATGGGACGCACTCTGCACAGCTATTTGCAGCGCCTTAGACAACTGGGCCACCCTTGGCCACCCTTACGCATCAGCAGACATGCACCAAACAAAATACAAAAGACACGATCCACGAACCTTCTTGTCATCTCAAAATGCTTAAAATTTATACAAAATATTTTAACCTATTTACGGAACGTTTCCATATTAATCTACATCCAATGTACGTGTATTATTTCGAAAGTAAACTTAAATACGAATTCCAGATCGAAAACGAAAACAGGTTCTCAGTTTTGGAAACCAATATGGCGGCCCCTCGAAACCACAACCGATTTTTCGTTTCAAGTCTTGAATTCTTATACGTGGCCATGATCTATACTTAGCACTTCCTGTGTCTATTTCTCCAGTACGTTGATGCCAACCAGAAGTGGGAGGTGCAGGAGGCCATTGATTGGATGAAGCAGCTCGCTCAGTTCAACCTCACCTGGATCGAGGAGCCCACCAGCCCTGACGACATCCTAGGTCATGCTGAGATTGCTCGGGTTAGTTTCACAAGTCAAGCTGGGATATACATACACTGGGGGCGGTGGGTTAGCCTTGTGGTTAAAGCGTTGGCTCATCACGCCAAAGACCCGGGTTTGATTCCCCACATGGGTACAATGTGTGAAGCCTGTTGTCCAGTGTCTCGCTTATCTTCACAGAGACCCGCAACAGGGGCGATGGAAAACACCCCTAATGCACCATATAAACTTAATAAACCCTCAGATTAGAGGTATTGCTTATCTCCACAAAAACGTGCAACAGGAGCGATGGAAAACACCTCTAATGCACCACACACTTACTAAACCCTCAGATTAGAGGTATTGCTTATCTCCACAAAAACCCACAACAGGAGCGATGGAAAACACCCCTAATGCACCATATAAACTTAATAAACCCTCAGATTAGAGGTATTGCTTATCTCCACAAAAACGCGCAACAGGAGCGATGGAAAACACCTCTAATGCACCACACACTTACTAAACCCTCAGATTAGAGGTATTGCTTATCTCCACAAAAACCCACAACAGGAGCGATGGAAAACACCCCTAATGCACCATATAAACTTAATAAACCCTCAGATTAGAGGTATTGCTTATCTCCACAAAAACGCGCAACAGGAGCGATGGAAAACACCTCTAATGCACCACACACTTACTAAACCCTCAGATTAGAGGTATTGCTTATCTCCACAAAAGCCCACAACAGGAGCGATGGAAAACACCACTGATACTTAATATACCCTCAGATTAGACGTTTCGCTTATCTCCACAGAAACTTGGGCTAGAGGCGATCAAAAGCACCCCTAATACGCCATAGCTTAAATAAATAGGAGGTCTCAAGTATCTCCCCGGTATCCCGGACCAGGAGCGATGGCAAACACCCCTATACACCGTGGAATGACTAAACCCTCAGATAAGAGGTGAACCATTTGCTTCCCCAATAATCCGGGCCAGGAACGATGGCAAACATCCCTGTACACCGTGGACTGAATAAACCCTCAGATAAGAGGTGAACCATTCGCTACCCCAATAATGCGGGCCAGGAGCAATGACAAACACTCCTGTACACCGTGGACTGAGTAAACCTTCAGATAAGAGGTGAAACCATTTGCTGTCAATCCGCTATTTTGGTCCACAATGTTGTCATAATAACCGCGAATCTAAAACTGTTTCTCTTTTAACCAGTTTGAATTGCTTGTATCGTTACAAACCGGGGGCACTGGTGGCCTAGTCGTCTAAGGCGGCGCAGTTCGTAAGGCCAGAAACCTATGATTGTGGGTTCGACTCCCGGTTCGCCCGGATTATGTTTCTAGGTTTGTCAGCACCATACACGTGCTCGTGGTTTCACCGAAGTGGTAAACGTCTAAGACCTGCATCACTTCGGGCTTTCCTCCCACATTCAAGCTGACCCGCCGTGATGTAACTGGAATACTGTTAAAAGCGGCGTTGAACACAACTCACTCACTCACTACAAACTGGTATACAAATTCCTTTCCAATTCGCCTGTCTCGCTTTTCCTCACACAGGCGCTGAACTCCCTGGGAATGGGTGTGGCAACCGGGGAGCACTGCCAGAACAGGGTCATGTTCAAACAGTTCCTCAAGGCCAAGGCTCTCCAGTTCTGTCAGATTGACGCATGTCGTCTTGGAGGAGTCAGCGAGAACGTGGCCGTCATCCTCATGGCCAAGAAGTTTGGAGGCAGGTTGCGTGCTAAAGGGACAATGCTTGTCGTAAGAGGCGACTCGCTGACTTCTTTGATTCATGTCATCGTATCCCAATTGCGTAGATCGATGCTCATGATGTCAGTCACTGGATTGTCTGGTCCAGACTCGATTATTTACAGGCCGCCGTCACATAGCTGGAATATTGCGGCTTCAAACGTCTAATCTGGTTATTTGTATGTGAATCAATGCCATTTCGTCTTATCCCCCAGACCGCCTCCGTGGTCTAGTGGTAGAGCGTCCGCCCGAAGAGCGGAAGGTCCGGGGTTCGATCCTCGGCCGCCTCATACCAAAAGATGTTACAAGATGGTATTTGTTGTTACCCTGCCTGGCGCTCGGCATTAAGGGGCTAAAACAAGGACTGGTCGGCTCGGAGTCAGTATACTGTGCCTGAGGGGTATTCATGTTAAACTGCGGCATGGTATCTCAGTGGGCTAGCACTATAAATCGGCAGCAGTCCGGACTAGTACAAGCAGCCACACACACACACACGTACATGCACGTCGCTATATAAGTGCAATAATCTTGGATGCGACGTTAAACCCCATTTCACCTCACCTCTTATCCCCCAGAAATCTCGATATGCCCCTACACGGGTGGGATGGGGATGTGTGAGTTATTTCTATTTCGTCTTCTCCCCCAGAAATACCGGTTTGCCCCCACGCGGGTGGGGTGGGGATGTGTGAGCTGGTACAGCACCTGTCTGTGTTCGACTACATCTGCGTCTCAGGGACGTTCGAATCCAGGTATTTCCGAACCCAGTCCACTGGTTGTCAAGTCTCGTTTATGTACTCAAGTAATGTCACCTTAAATATATGCTGGATATAAAACAGCCTTGGTATACTTGGTATTTCACTAAATAAATTGTGTTAAAATAACATAGTCCCTTACATGTTTTATAACCCAGAATGTGTTTACGTCACCCATTTCGGCTGATTGACACCTCTAATAATTTATAGTTTAATTTTCCAGTAACAACTTTTGTGAAGAATTGACCTTCACTTTGTGTGAGTTCATTGGAGTATGAACCGTCATAGAGTGAGGGCCAAACTGTATGAACGTCGGAGCTTGGTCATGTGACCGACCTTTCGTCCCATTGAAAAACCGTATATCGTGTAAACTTCAAATTAAAAAATTATTAAATATTGAATGCTGATATTTATTAGACAACTGCCTTGTATTGGCCTTGTTCAAACAACAGTCTACGAGTACTTGAGACCGCCTACGTTGTCAAGTGGTAGAGCGGAAGGTCGGGATTCGAATCCCGGCCGCGTCATACCAGAAGACGTTAAAAGATGGTACTTGTTGTTACCCTACCTGGCGCTCGGCATTAAGGGGCTAAAACAAGGACTGGTCGGCTTGGAGTCAGTATGCTGTGTCTGTGTGGGTAAACTGGGTTAAAATGTTGTATGTTTCAGATGGACGGAGTATTCCGAGCACCTGCACGACCATATGGTGCACCCTGTGCAGGTGCGAGACTGCAGGTACACAGTTCCGCAGGTTAGTAACATGCTGGACAAACGATAACGAAAGGTGGTTTGTGTTTGTTTTCAGCTGTATGGCGGCGTTCTGTAAATAATCGTTTTAGAGCAGAAAATCCATTATGACATCATGAGCATCTATCTACGCAGTTGACATACGATGACATTTTATCAACCACGTCAGCGAGCTTGACCACCCGATCCCGTCAGTCTCATCTTACGACAAACAAAGTCACCGTTTACGGCAAGCATGGGTTGCTGAAGACCAAGTCTGACCCGGATCTTCACGGGTCTATTAATTCCAGCTATGTGCCAGCGGTCTGAAAATAATCGAATCTGGAACAGACGATCCAGTGATTGAGTCATGATCATCGATCTACGCAAATGGGATACGATGAGGAATAACGATAAGGGTTCATCACTCCTGTAGGAGGTGTGGGGCGGTCGGGTAGCCATGTGGTTAAAGCGTTCGCTCGTCACGTCGAAGACCCGGGTTTGATTCCCGACATGGGTACAATGTGTGAAGCCCATTTCTGGTTTCCCCCGCCGTGATATTGCTGGAATGTTGCTAAAAGCGGCGTAAAATCATACTCACTCACTCACTGTAGGGGGTGTTACAGAGTCTCGTGAGTCCGCCCTTAGTACCCCGCAGGGTCGGTGGGGTAGCCTAGTGGTTAAAGCGTCCTCCGAAGACCCGGGTTCGATTCCCCACATAAGTACAATGTTTCGAGCCCTTTTCTGGTGTCCCCCGTCACGACATTGCTGGAAAGTTGCTAAAAGCGGCGTAACCCACTAGATTGAATGCACTACGATCGAGACTTGATTATTTACAGACCACCGTGTGTGCTGCGTTAAACGATATTCGCTCACTCCTGCAGATTGAGTGAGTGAGTATGGTTTTACACCACTTTTAGTAATGGTTCCGCTATATCACGTGTGAATTACGACTCAACGACTGTGTCTATCCTTTAATTCAGAGTCCCGGCTACAGCTCCGAGGTGAAGGCCTCGACGCTTGAGGACTACTCGTTCCCCGGGGGTCGGGTCTGGAGGAAGCTCATCGCGGAGGGCACCCACGAGGGTTGATAGGGAACTCCGGGGTCGGGGCTAGACTGGAACCTGTCTCTGTTTCAAAACAAATTGAGAAATTATTTACATTATAGCCAATATTACATTCTATTATTGATAAGAGATTTGTCAAGTCTAGAGTTGGGGTGTGTTGCGGATGTAATACAGTAAAGTACGGTTATAACGAACTCAAAGGGACCACTATTTTTTGTTCGTTATAACCGTAGTTCGTTATAAACAGATATATACAGCAAATGGACGGGACCAAAAAGAGTTCGTTATATCAGCCAGTTCGTTATCAGCGTGTTCGTTATAAACGTGATTATTTCTGTATGGGCTTGAACTCTGGAAGAACTAATTGGGGAGCAGCTGAAAATGGATCAGGCTTGAGATATTAATGGTCATATCTGGCTTAGAATCTCTCAGTGCAGTCAAATGGGTGCATGTTAATTATCCACATTCTATTACTCAAGGGGCGGTCGGGTAGCCTAGTGGTTAAAGCGTTCGCTCGTCACGCCGAAGACCCGGGTTCGATTCCCGACATGGGTACAATGTGTGAAGCCCATTTCTGGTGTCCCCCGCCGTGATATTGCTGGAATATTGCTAAAAGCGGCGTAAAACCAAACTCTCACTCACTCACTATTACTCAAGACATAAACCTATACAAGTGATGGTTGGATCGTTGATAACCTATATCAGTTGGAGGACGTAATGTGAGTACTACGTTTGGGCGCTGTGGTGAACATAATTAAAGGTAGCCATTGATCGATATCCAAGGACTGGAAGATCTCGCATAACATGTGACCTAAATACGCCAAATAATTTAAGCCTCGTTTTCGGATTAAGTAGCAATTGGAATGAACACTCGATGCCTATCTTTACTGATATACTGATGGAAACAAATAAAGCTGACACGCCATGATATTACTGAAATAATGTTCAACGCGGGGTAAAATCCAACTCTCACACTAAACACGCATACGGTATGTCAAGTCAAATGAGTGCTACCGTTTCTATGAGGTCCTTGTTTCTTCCCAGTATGCATGCGGTAATTGAATGGGTTTTTTTCTGTTCTTGGAATGAGCCATGTTTTCAGACAATAAAATCATGTAAGCACAAGTGAATTTCAGAATTTTATTGGACTGATTGTTGTGGTTACAGATGGGACTCTGTACAAAGAGATGTTTTCAACTGAATAAACAGAACAAAAAGTTATGGAGTTCTAAAGCCATGATCAACATGTGGACATTAATGTTCATGTCATCACCAGGAGTAAACACCATATATACCCGTGAAGATCCGGGGTCGAATGTCTTCAGCAACCCATGCTTGCCGTAACCGGCGACTATGCTTGTAAGAGGCGACTAACGGGATGGGGTGACCAGGCTCGCTGACTTGGTTGATAAAAATACGTACAATTACAGGGTATGCGGCGATATATTTATGAAAAAAGGTTAGTATCATACGAAAAAAATATATAATAGAATTTGACTCAAAGTTACTCAATATTTTATCATAATGAAAAACACCTAGAGTTCAAGTAGTCGCGATTCTCGCACATGAACAGAAACACCGTTCAAGGTAGCTTCGAACCAAACTCGTGATGAGCCAGACAGGAACTTATTTGCTTGTCCGCGACTATGGTGGATTACTCGTGTCCGTTATCGAAACCTAATACAGTACAGGGCCCCGTTCCACAAAGCGATCTTAGTGCTAATACTGCCGTAAGTCTATGTTAAATTATGGGAGTTACGGTCGTCTTAGCGCTACGGTCGCTTTGTTGAACGGGGTCCTGGCTCTCGCATCCTCAATTGTCCAGATTATTTTATCGCTCACTTTTTCTTTTTATTGACATTTCGTTCATATGCATGTGAGGTTAATTTTTAGAGGGAACCAACACTCCAACTTTGAAAGTATTGAAATATGGATCGGCTTTTTTTTCGCGGATTCAAAATTTGCTTATTATTCACAATAATCTCGACTGGTTTGACTGGTGCGGCTTTTCTCGCGGCTCTCGGCGTTAAACAACAAACAAATAAACAAACACTTTCTCAGGTGTCTTAATACCATACCAATGCTTTCATTTACAGAGTATTATATCATGTATGTGCAATAATTATTGCTTGAAATGTATGGTATGTTGGCTTGTAACTTGTATTTGGCTGTTAAAGCCGTGGTTTCACTGTGCGGCGTCACTGATGCAGAAATATGTTAGCTGTCAACATCAGCTGACTTGTCTGGGTCGGTATTGTCGAAGCTCCGCATTGTCGCGAGGTCCTAGACACAGGTAGATTTGTTTGTTTGTTTGTTGTTTAACGCTGCACTGCGCAAATTGATGACGTGGCCGACCAGTACTTGTTTTAGCCGCTTATGCTACCATCACACCAAAGTAGTTCTATCCCGTTCTACCCCGTTCTAAAACAAATACTAGAACGGGCTGTGATTACGGTAGAACACGTAGTTTGGCGTAGAATACGATGCTAGTTTGTTCATAAGCAGTCCTCAATACGTCTATCTCGTTCTTGGCCAGTCTGCAGTCCGTTTGTGTCCAGTTCAGATCGTGTAAAAGTACCCGTTCACCTCATCCCAACAACGTTTCGAAGCAGTTCGAGCACGTCCGTAGCCGTTCACAACCCGTTCTTAACCAGTTCAACCTCATTCACAATACGTCCAAGCCAGTTCTAACTAATTCTTAACCCGACCAACTCGTTCGCAGTACGTCCTCATGTCGTCCCAAGTGCGTGTGTATATTCGCGTCCTGGCCCGTCCTGGTCCGACTCCTATGGATACCGAGCGCGTTGTAGCCAATCTTCATTCAAGTTCAGGGCTCCGAGCTGTACACATCATGCCTCCAAAGAGAAGTCGACCCGGTCGGTGTGCACAAGTACTGAAATTTATGTCCAACTGCACAACGTCGTAACACGTCCCTAGTAGGTTCGAAGTACGGCAATTCCGTTCGTAATACGTCTTTCTCGTTTTAAGTACCTTGTCAATCCGACTAATTGCAGAACGGGATGGACAATAAAAATTTTGAGCAGACTCAAAGTTCTAGAGCACCTTCCCCGTCCGAGCCCGCCCATGAAGTTCGTAAAAAGACTGTCAATAGTTGCTACTACGTCCACTACGTTCATACACAGTTGGAGCCCGTTCGACAACATTTTCACGAACGTATTGAGAACTAGTTTGGTGTGATGGGGGTATTAATGTCGAGCGTCAGGCAGGGTAACAACAAGTACCATCTTTAAACGTCTTTTGGTATGACGCGGCTTGGGATCAAACCCCGGACCTTCCGCTCTCCGGCCAGGCGCGCTCCCATTGGGGCACGGAGGCGGTCCTTATTTGAGAAACACATTTTACACATGTACACTGTGCGTACATTGATTTCCTTGGATTTCTTCCTTTTTGCCAATAAGTCATTCAGTGAGAAAGCGTTTTTTTTATTTTTTGTTACATACGAAGTGCTTAATGTAGCCTGTCTCACATTCCCAGATTAAAAATAGTATGCTCAACTATGTTTCATAAATTGTTTTTAAATATAACTTTGCATAACTAACTAAATTGTGAATATATTAACTTGGTCTCGTCGCTATATGGCCGAAATAATGCCGATGCGACCTTAAGTTCTAACTCACTCACTCACTCACATTCCCAGAACCATCTCATTTTCACTTCCGCCTATCCCTTTCTGTAATACAAAAGCACCTAATATAGCAAGTCGAGATCCTCTTCAAATTACTTGAAGTTATATGTTTCTATCAACATATATTTTGAAGTACTAAGCGTTAGTTATGTTTGATGAAGCCTACACAAAATATTGCTGTGTGAATTGTAAATGTGCTTATTTTACATATATTCATGATGTTTCGTATTGATCGTGAACACCGTTTTTGTATCATATTTCATTGTCGTCGAGCTTGATTTGTCATGCACGCAAATTTGCCCATAAATAATATAAGGAATAAGAACAAATTTCATATTCGCTTCCCGAGTCGTTTTGGTTCAACACGAATTACCCCCCTTTGTTTTAGTTTAGCGACAGCAGTTCAAAATGGCTCTGACCGTGGCTCCCACACAAATAACGGCCTGCGTGGTACGGGACATTCGCCACCCGACATCCCTGGAGAAAGATGGATCGGACGCAATGGTAACGTGTTACATTTAACGTGTTCTGACATACCTCATTTATTTCAAGCGATAGATTATCTTCAATTCTGCTACGATCAGCTGATGAGTCCGTGCGCCAAGGCCACGCCAACCGAGTAACCAATCATGACGCGGAAAACGGGAGGCGTGGCATTGATCCGCACGTGATGTTTCGGCGTGTGTTTACATTTTGGGCTATTTTTTTTTTTAAATGTCATTTGTCACATTTTGTCTTCATCGAACGGGCGACAGAGCCACGTCATAGATTCCGCAATAACAAGTTCAAAGGTTCAAGGAGATAGGAGATTGATATCGCTCTTAGATTGACCTATAGCATTCATAGTCACGAAAACGTGTTCTGGTTATGACAATGCATACGTGGTTACACAAAGCTTCGGGCAAGCGACAACCGTTGATGTACACGAGATAACCCTCGACGTCAGCTGTGTTTCTCTGTCATTGTACTGAATTATCTTTTTTTAAATTAAAAAGTGAATACTTAAAAAAAAAAGAAAGAAAAAGGTTACATGTATGACTACAATTTTTTGACCGACATTTTCTCAATGGTTACATGTACTTTTGTCTGTATGTACATAAGCGTATTTTTCTTGTCACTATAATTCTTGTCATTATTCCAACAGATTAACATGCATTTACAGTCAAAGGGGTTAAATATTTAAATAAAGTCACATGACCAGAAAGTTTTCAAAGGGGGAATCATGGAAGGTATGCTGCAGTCTAGACTGGAGACAGTCTCTGTTTCTTATATAATATATAAATATGTATAAATGTCCAAAACATATACAAAATCTGAGATGTTTTTTCCGCTTCACTCTTTTGTTCTAAATGCATAAAAAACTCTGAAAACATTTTTAAAAAAACCTGATGGGAAGTGTTTCATCTATCTTGTAAACCAAAAAGAAATTTGGAGCAACATTTATCAACAGTTTTATGTTTCCCATGAACCTGAGGAAACAGGTGTGTATATCTCTTAATGGCGTACTTGAAAAAGACATTCTTGAAAGCATTGTGATATATCAGCGCCTCTGTAGCCCAGTGGTACACTCACTGGGCTTTAGTGTCAAAGATTTCAAGGTTTGATCCACGTATATATAAAGAAAACATTTGTCATTGATTTTAAATCATTCTGCACATTTCATAATGAACATTTTGTTCAAATGCAAAATCTATCTCTAGCGAGAGACATTCACACGTTACTGTATCATTGGAAGTTGTATAAAGATAATCCTGGTGATATTATGTGTAAAATCTCGGAGATGTTATCACATCTCTATATAGGAGATTTAACCCGATTGGAGAACAATAGGATGATGTTACTCAAGGACTATAAGCATTATTATGAATATTGATATTGCACTAAAAATGTGTGGTTTGCAGAATATAATATTATATAATGAAGAGTGTTTTGGTTGGTGAGTTTATTGTGTCCGCTCTCAACAGTATGTCTTTAAAATCATTGAGCTTCTGTTAAATATGAGCAAAATGTACAGTTAATTCCACCTGTGCTCCCCTGATAATGACGAAACAATTGAGAATGACCATCTTCCCCAGGCAAGGATTTAACTGATCATAAAAGTCCAGCCAAACTCGGCTGCAATTATGGAGTCATATTAATGTGACTGGACTCACGAGTCAATGCATCGTCCAATCAAAATCGCGTAACGAAATCAACATCCAGTTCGTAAACTGCTGTGCAGATTTCATCGACTGCAGGATTTGCAAAGCCTGTGTACCGTCATCTCGGCGTCAACATATATTTTCCAAATCATTCCATGTTTTTAATCAAGGTGCTCGTGATTTGATGCAAACCGCGGAGTAAGACCCGTTTTATCACAATGCAGATTTTGATTATTGATCACATGGTCCTGACTGGGTGCCGCCATTTTGAAGCAAATGCAAGTGATATGAGAGGGGGAATCTGATTGGTCAATAGCAGGGCATGGAAGGGACATAACTCATAATAGCCACTGATGGCGCTATGATGGAGCCCAGAAATTCCATCCTACTTCGGCAAGGGTGGTAACTGGACTTTCACAGTCGGTTAACTCCCCTGCCTTGGGAAGATGGATATGGGCAGGACGAAAGTGACAACTGTTTAAAGATAATGATGCTCTTCTCCAGAATGTGGCCCCTGACTACTCGGCGCCGTACGTGGTGTTGAGCACAGATTCTCTGTTGGAGGGTCATGGTTTTACCTTCACAGTCGGCAAGGGGAACGAGATCGGTGAGAATAACATTCATATTGATGTGCCTTTAAAACCACCAGAATCATCTGGAGTTAATTTGATATTACTTCTTCTCATTTTACACACATATCAGGTAAGGCTAATGGTTACTTGCAATTCAGGCCGCCTCCGTGGTCTTGTGGTAGAATGTCCGCCCGGAGAGCGGAAGGTCCGGGGTTCGATCCCCGGCCGCGTCATACCAAAAGACGATGGTACTTGTTGTTATCCTGTCTGGCGCTCGGCATTAAGGGGCTAAAACAAGGACTGGTTGGCTCGGAGTCAGTATACTGTGTCTGAGTAGGGTATTCATGTTAAACTGCGGCATGGTATCTCAGTGAGCTAGCACTATAAATCGGCATCAGTCCGGACAAGTACAAGTAGCCACACAAACACACACACGTACATGCACGTCGCTATATAAGTGCAATAATCTTGGACGTGACGTTAAACCCCATTTCACCTCACCTACTTGCAATTCAAATTAGCATAGTATTTTAAAATGCATATATAATATTTGGTGGCACTTTGGTAGAATATGTTCACAGTCTTTGCAAACTACAGCTGTTTTTCCTGTGTTGTATCACGTGCCATATTGTCATCACGAAAAGTATCTGTTCCATTATTATCTTTTTCTTTCCATTTTTCATTCTCTTTTGGTAATGATGCCTGACAAACGTATTTGTATCTATAGGCCTAAACGAAGAGAATTGTGTTCCCAAAATACTTCAGCAAAGATGACAGAAGAAATCATGAATTAAGTGCCACTTCTAACGAGTGTCAACTACAGGTTCATAGTCACATTCTAGTATTGAATATTTTTTTTAAAGTGTGTCATGCAATCAAAGTTCTGAGCAAGTTCGTCGTTGGACTTAAGTTATCTGCCATCTTTGCCGACTTCGCCAGTTTCTGGAGGTCACTGACGAGTGAGGACCAGATGAGATGGGTGAGAAGTCTTTTTGTGTAATAATACATACATATATCATGCTATATATTTAAATTCCAGAAAATGGGGTTATTATATACATACATATATCATGCCATTGTAGCAGGGTGTGGAGTCATCCCACAGATGACATCCTTACCTTGTCAGCTTGCTGACGGGGTTAACCTCTTTGGTCATGTGGACAAGGCGTCCGACCTCTGATCAGAAAGTCTGTGGTTCGAATTCCATCACAGGACTCTGAAATTTTATGGCCGCTACACCATATATGAATATCTGGTGTCCTCCACCGTGATATTGCTCGAAAACTTGTGAAAGCAGTGTAAAACTATACTCTTTCACTCCCCCACTCACTTTACCAGAAAATGAGGCTAGAACATGCATGCGTATATCATACAACTAATATAAGATACCATTAGTAGATTTATCATATAGCGTTGTAAGATATGCACAATGCCAGTGTAACTTATCCATAACTTATAAACAGACAAATATATGCTATATCGCATTCCAATGAAAGTTGTTGCACACACAACCAGAGGTGTATTTCGAAGGGCAGGTTGAACTAAAACACATCATAGGCTGGCTTGAAAAAAGGGCCCCTGAAAAATACTGAAATAAGTTTGCGGGTGTTATTTCACTAACAATTTCCTTCCAGCTGGGTCCAGAGAAAGGAGTCATGCATCTTGCTGTGGCGGCCATTACCAATGCAGTCTGGGATCTGTGGGCCAAGATGGAGGGCAAGGTCAGACATTGAAGCAACACTCTGTTTACACCCCTCCACCTAATTATCCCCCGCCACGATGTGGAAGGGGGATCTAGGAATGGGTGCTGTCTGTCCATCCTTCCGTCATGTTTCGTTTCCGGAGCAGAACCCCAAAAACATAAGATATATCCCTACCAAACTTGGCACATAGATGGGTCTAGTGGTAAACTGCTGCCTTTTGATAGTTTGAGATTTTTAATAAAGATATTTTTTTAGTTTCCACAGCAACGACTTTGACCTAGGCTGAAAACGGAGGTAGTGCTCAATTTCGGAGGGCTAATGCCTTGCACAGAACCATTCATGACATATTGACGGGGGATATGAGTATTTCATGTTTATTCAGGAACCTAAATGAATAAAAATTCCAACCAGAGACCTTATACCAATAGATGGATGGTCTCTGTTCTGACAGTGAAGAGTTTTTCTGGAATAAAATATCTGAGCAATACTACCCACTAATTGAGTATAATCCAAAACTGGCTTCCACTTTTCTCCGTCTGGGTGAGAGCAAGCGATATCTCTTGTGAGAAGCGACTTGTGCTGATATATGTGATATCAAAAGACACTTGGGTGAGATTCTGTGTATAAAGTCATGGGTGACGACATCAGTGTTTGGAACTGCTGTACTCCCTGAAACATGTACTCTTTGCTGTTGGGTTGGATGGTGTCGTAAAGACGAAATTGTTAGTTTTTTTTACAGAAACAAACACACCCATATTTATTGAAACCCAGCTTAATCAACATTTGATATTTATAAATGCGGAGTTTTGTCTTGATTCTTTGTGGTAATAGAGATCTTCCATAAGGACATTGCTTCCTGGAACTGAAGTATGAGGGCAATGGTAAAACGCTTATGGTCAATTCACTATACAGAGTTGTGTCCCTTAGCTTCCAGGATCCAAAAGTCCCTGGTTTGAATCCCAGATTCCATTGATTATTATCCTTGGTCTGTCAGCAGCATGTGCTCATCGGTTTCAACTCACCGCTTGAATTTGACCTTACTCCCACATAAACTATTTACAAGCCATGATAAAACTGAAGCGACATTAAGCCCAACTCCCATTTGTGTATTGACTTGTGTGTTTCAGCCCATGTGGAAGTTACTGGTGGATATGGTAAGTACATTAAATTATACTGTGGTCAGTTCTAGCTTGTAGTCTTTATAACGTTGGCAATCTCATTAAAGTATCTATATTAAGGAATATTAATATTGTGTTCTGACAGGCAGAATTTCAAATAAATTATATCAAAATGAAGTTAAAAATCCAAAATAATTTTTGTAATCATGGTAACTTCATGAAGTTCTCCATTTACTTGTTATACATTTTAGCAGTCGTCTTTATTAAAAATGTTTCGGTTCTCGATTATCTGAGCCAGGAGTCTTGTACCACACACTTGAGTCCACTGATTGTGGGGCTGTACTGATTGTGGGGCTGTACTGATTGTGGGGCTGTACTGATTGTGGGGCTGTACTGATTGTGGGGCTGTACTGATTGTGGGGCTGTACTGATGTGTGTTGTGTTTCAGGAACCTGAGAAGCTGGTGTCAACCATTGACTTCCGTTATCTGTGAGTTGATATGTAATGAATTGATTGGTGGGGAGTTGATCTGTGGTGAGTTGATATGTAATGAGTTGATCTGTAGTGAGATGATCTGTGGTGAGTTGATCTGTAGTGAGATGATCTGTGGTGAGTTAATTTGTAATGAGTAGTGAGTTGAGCTGTGGTGAGTTGATCTGTGGTGAGTTGATCTGTAGTAAGATGATCTGTGGTGAGTTAATTTGTAGTGAGTAGTGAGTTGATCTGTGGTGAGTTGATCTGTGGTGAATTGAACTGTTGTTATTAGTCAGTTGATCTGTGGTGAGTTGATCTATAGTGAGTTTATCTGTAGTGAGTTTATCTGTAGTGAGTTGATATGTAATGAGTTGACCCCCGACCAATTATCCGACCCTAGGTACCTGCTGCAGGTCTCAAGAGTTGGGTACAAAATGTCCCAATGGAACTGTTGTAGCAGAGCCCTGGCAAAAACTATTAAGATACACTCATTAAATGATCTGATCATGCATACACTGAAGCTGACTGAAGCTTGTCTTTACTCAAACATGGAAAGTCAGAAGGAATCATGCATAGTCGGAAAGAAATGCGAACATTGTTTATTGTTATTGTCATTAAACAATATATCCTGTAATTACCCATGGGGCTGGGTAGTCCTGTGGGTACCTGGATCCTACTCGGGACCACCAGACCCGAGTACCCGAGTTACTTTGGTGTATATGTTGGTTATGATACCGTGAAGATCCAGGGTAGAATAGGTCTTCAGCAACTCATGCTTGTCGTAACAGGCATCTAACGGGATTGGGTGGTCAGGCTTGCTCCCTTTGTTGATGCATGTCATCATATCCCAATTGCGTAGATCGATCTTCATATCAATCACTGGATTGTCTGGTCCAGACTCTATTATGTACAGACTGCCATCATATAGCTAGAATATTGCTGAGTGCGGCGTTAAACAACAAACAATATGGTTATCATGATTCTAGAACAGTTTTATCAAAGCCTTCTGATTATCAAACATGACTGAGCCTGGTGTGTGTTTCAGAACTGATGGGATGACGAGGGAGGAGGCCATAGGTGAGCAGGACAAATGGCACTTTTTAAAATTTTGTTGGGGCAGTTGGGTAGCCTAGTGGTTAAAGCGTTCGCTCGTCATGCCGAGGACCTGGGTTTGATTCCTGACATGGGTACAATGTGTGAAGTCCATTTCTGGTGACCCCTACCGTGATTTTGCTGGAATATTGCTAAAAGCGGCGTAAAACCATACTTCTTCACTCACTTTATTTTGTCACATCGGTGTCAGTTCTGTCACACCAAGGAGACCCTGGTGTACTGATGCATACCCAGTACATCTACATGCATATGTGTAGATCTCAGCTGATTGTGTATCATTATTGGTGTTCATGCTATCAACCACTGGTTGTGCAAGTCAGGTTTCAGCACTAATTGTGACTATGATAAAGTTGATATATCTGACTAAGGGTAAAGCTATAGCCAAGCGGTAAAGTACCTGCAGGGTTTTGTGACATGGAGAACCTGAGTTTGAATTGCTTATTGGAGGTTTCAGTCCTCCACCAAAGATCTGGGTTTGATTCCTCACATAGGTCATTCATTCCACCTCTCAGTTCACTTGCATTTGCTTCAAACAAAATGATCTGATTGATAATCAAGATCTGTGTTATGAAAAACCAAGTCTAACTTTGCGACGTGCATTAGATCACAAGAGCACCTTGATTATAAACATGAAAAGATTTGAATGAATGTGTCTTTCAGCTGTCCTCAAAGAGATGCAAGCCGGGAAAAAGGAAAGAGGTGAGTAGTTGTGTATAGTTTCACAAACATACCTAGTCAGTAGACAGTATGATTTGGGGCCTTTAGTTGGCAGACAGTATGACTTGGGGCCTTAAGTCAGTAGACAGTAGGATTTGGGGTGTTTAGTCAATAGACAGTGGGACTTGGGCCTTAGTCAGAAGACAGTAGGACTTGGGCCTTAAGTCAGTAGACAGTAGGACTTGGGGTGTTTAGTCAGTAGACCGTAGGACTTGGGGCCATTAATCAGCAGACAGTACGATTTACAGCTTTTACTCAGTAGCAAGTATTTTCTAATCATCCCCTATCATGTATGGTGCTGACAAGTACCCTCGGCCTCGAGCATGGGTCAGACAAGGGTCCTGACTATAGTCATGTGTCAAGGACACTAGCGCCTGACCAGGGGAGATTACTCACATCATCACTTCTCTAGCACAGAAGATAGGCCGTACTAACCATGCATTCACATAGACTTATTGATGTCTGGTTACTGTTCTATTACCAAGGACTGACAACATTACCCTGTTCTACTATGTAATTCAGATCATGAGTGAAAATGATTACGTTAAGATTATGTCCTTATCTTAACTATTTGTTCAAAGTAAGCAGGAAAAGTCATTTTCCCTTAGCGAACTCTTACAGATTTCCTCTTCTCTTTCACAAGAAGGAGGTGGTACCCTGTTTTTATATATACAGAAGAAATTAAGCAGATTATCATGTTCCCAAGGGCTAATAAACAGATCGGGATCTGAACCCAACACAGGTGGAACATATACCACCAACATTGGGATTCAAGTGATATGTATGAGTCAGGATAAGAAAAAAAATAGGGTAAAAGTATTATAAATATTTATCTTGACTCATACGCTAAAGAGCCCACCCAGCCATTCCCTTTTCCCCTTTTTCGGCCGAATTAAGTACGGGAATTGAGAGAGTGACGATAACTAGTCTTGGTCACATGCTTCTGGTGTGCATGCACATTCCAGGGGTGCGTTTGGTTGAGATGTCTTCTCTTTTCTCCGGAAACACAGTTCAGGAAGTTTCCCCAATCTTTTGGTAATGAGTAGATATAAGCACTAACTATGGGTCAGGATAAGTATAAATAATATATTTAACCTAAAAATACAATATTGTGGCTTTTTTACTTTGGAAATCAAGTCCTACAATCAGGATCCTCATGTAATGCAGGCCTAAGTTTCTCAGATCCAGTATATGTTTACTTAACTCTTGTGTAATGAACTCCCTGATTGTTGGACAGAGGCTGATGTCATCGCGAAGGGATTCCCCGCATACACCACTTCCTGCGGCTGGCTCGGCTATGATGATGTCAAACTCAGAAGGGTAATGCAGTAAATGAATTGTCTCCCCTTTACGATAATTTGTACCAGAAGGGTTACCATAGTAATTGTGTGAAGTAATTGTGTCCATGTCTCGTAACCATTTCGTCCCTTTCTGTTGTTTGGATGGCTGGGGTTAAGGCCATAATACGTTAATTGTTAGATTATCACTCCCACTCCACTCACAAATGACTCACCCACCACCCCCACACCCCCCCACCCCCGACAAATTAATTTGCCCGAGTGAAATGTTTACTTGGAAATATGTCTCTTGGTACATGCCTGTCAATCGTCTCCTTGCTGCCAGCTGTCAAGATGGTGTTCGCTATTTTGAAAATACGAGAGGGTGTGAATCCAATGCCTTGTCCATGTTTCAGCTGTGTAAAGAAGCGCTGGCACAGGGATTCACCAAGTAAGTCATACAGAATCGCAGCCAAGTGACTTTTGATTGAAACCATGTCGACACGTTTTTTACGTTTACCGACAACTTTTGAAATATATGATATAAAAAGGGTAAGATTCTATTGATCATCCAACTTTTTCAGTTTGTAAACCGTAATTACAGTAACCATCAGTGTCTTGAGAGTACAAAGTACAGCGAACCAGCTTCAGTAGCAGTGGTTCCTGGCTCCGCATGAGCGTCAGCAACTTTCGCCAAACTTGGCCAAACCATTTAAAACGCTCAGCTCGTTTATTTGACATCACATCCGGCTTAGTTTAGCTTGACTCCTTCTCTATAATTGATGTCACTCTGAAAATCTGGAAACTAATCATCCAAGTCATTTATTGGTAAGATAAGATTAAAAACTTACGAATGGTTCATTACTTTGCAGTCGTAACCCGTACGTTGAATTCTAAATACATACAAAATTATTTTCAGAATTATATTTAATAATATAACCAGTTAATATTTTCCATAATTTTAGTATATTTAACACACTGATCATACATGAGGGGTTTGAGAATATCATCCTTGATTATCCAGCATAAAATAATCTCCATTCCATTGTGATAATTACGCTTGACAATCGACCATGCAGAAATATTATGAATAATTTGTGTTTTCATTTATCAATAAAGGCATGGACTAAAGTATGTTTGAGATACAGCCATAGTGTCATGGTACTATATATTGAACCATGCCTCATATATATTGGTGCTGGTTCACAGTGAAAAAGGGATATCATGAATATGTAGCCATGTTTAAAAACTCTGTATACATGGCCACAGATGGTCCTTGTGAACAACGCTTGACAAACTTCAAGTGATCTCTTGTGTATCACTAATAATCCATCATGAGCATCGCCAGTAGCCTGAGGCCACTGAGATGAATTTCTGACACATGACAGATGTATCTTCGTGGGCGTCGACATCGCTGGTTTCCCCATGAATTCTGTCATTGAATACTTGACATGTTTACATATCTAACTCGTACAAATATGTCAATCCTTCTAAAATGTGATTTCATCAGGGTGAATTCACGCCTGTCTAGAGTTCTGTGTTTTTTCGGTGTCGTGAAATGGTCTTCGTGATTTTATCATTGCACCAAAATTGGCATTGAGATTCAGGAAACATACCGGAGAATGTGTCAATAATTTACTGCAATATTTAAAATGATAAACACATTAATATACCACAACTATCTGTATGAAGCTGATTTATAACTAAAAAATAACGTTGTCCAATGACGTCATTAGGTTGCAAACACTCCAGAAGTCATGTCATGATAGAACAATATTTTATCGTGAAATAAACCACGCTTCATTGTTCTTTGCGATTTATCACGTAGCTATCTTATATATTCTACCATGACATTGATGAATGCTTGATTCTGATTGGTTAAAAAGAGGTTTCCTTTTTGCTACAGAAACCCCTTTAAAATATATTAAGCCTTTTCACAAAAAAACGTGCGTATGAATACATAGATAGCCTACATATCGATTCACAGAAAATGGCTGCCGATCGATCACCCCCATATATGAACTGTAAAACATGTCTATATTTCCTCTAATACACGCTGGGTCTCAAATACCAGACAGGTCTCTAATACACGCTGAGTCAAGGGCTCTCGCACAATTAATAGACGGCGTATAGTGTCAAATAGAGGAAATACGGTAGTTTGATATCGGCTGTTTGGGGCGTTCTAGGCCGCAACCCTGACTGCTTCGATGATGACATTAAAAGATTTAACGAAGCATATCTTTTGCTTACAAATGAAATGTTTATGAAACTGTTAGAGAAATGTTCTATGGTGACCAGAATCGGTACAATTTAAGCTATTTCCTCATTGAAACAACCGACAATGAAAGTAAAATATAACATTATAAAAATTGTTTGAAAAAACAACATCACATCAGCAGGGATAGTCAACGTGTTAATGTTGAACAGCATCACACTGTGCATCAATACTGGGTTGTCTTCTGGTTTCCTGCAATTCTTTAACAGCGGATTCCAGGTGGCATACTTTCAGGTGAGGTGTCCATGCCGGATACCACGGATCTGGTATCCGGCAAGGTATCTGCCACCGGATACCCGGACGCGTTTTGGGTAAGTGTCCGGTGGTATCCGGCAGGTATCCGGATACCGGAAACTGCATTTTTTTTGCTGTGACTGTTACTGTTAACAATTTCTTTGGCAGCCATAACTGAGAGTGCAGTGCAGATACAGTGACAACCGGGCCACGTTAGGACGGTTCTCATGTCAGGGTGGGGAGGTATAATTCAAAGATTCACACACTCAAAATTAGTGAAAGAGTGATATCTAATAAATTTTGTTGAGAAAATAATAATTGTTCATTTTTTTGGTAGCTTTTTCTGAAACCCACGAACAGTTAATTTCATTATTGAAACAACCGACAATGAAAGTGAAATATAACATAATAAAATGTGTTTGAAGACATTTTATTCATGACAACATGGTGTTTACAAACCTTTTTCTGATCGATATCCATTGCCATCTCCGTCAACCACCACCGTTAGAATTTGGCAGGTGGGAATTTGTAAGTCCATCAGAAAACACTCCCTTTCGAAAGTCCACGAAAACAATGTCCCAACTGAAGTGACAGCTTATCAAACTTGATGAAATTCATTTCAGAACACGCACAATTATGGAAATTATACACGACCTACTATTTCTGGACCAGAAATGTCTAAGTTCTGTCACTTTTTGGCGTTGGATCCGTGAAATCTTGAAATTGACAGGTCACACCATGCAGATTCCTCGTTTCAAAATATCCGTCTCGTCTGCAGCCTAAACAGCGGCTGTTCAGTCATACTCAGTTCCATTAGTAATCATATGGATGTACCAGCAGGCTCGATCAATCCCAGTTAATCTACAGGTAAATGTTGAACCACATCATAGATCGGGGTTGTCATCTTGCTTCTCTTAACTAGATCAAGTTAATGTAAAGACATGATTGTCAGCCATTGACAGCTGTGAGGTGTGAGTAACCGTGATTTAGGTCAAGTTCTGCCACATCCAAGTTCGGGGTAGAGAGGCATTTACTTTGATGTTATTATTGTTTACTGGGGGTAATTGCTATCTAACTAATAACTCTTAGACATATTAAGTGTATATTAGAATGTTAATTCATAAAGTTTGCTGTAGAAATATATTCGTTTTGCATTTTAAAACCTTTTTTCTATTACCCGTCACCCCTACAATAGAAATGATGGCATGTTCGATTTCCAAGAAATGACCTCTCGCACAAATTTCCGAGAAACGACAGCCAAGTCCACAGTGTTCAACAGTGTGCAACAGTTTGATAGAACTTAAAACATCTCTCTTTGGATTAAGTTAGGAGGGTTATTTGTCAACTTCGTTTGAAAAACTATGTGTTTTAAATACTTATTATGAACTACTCACGACTTTGGTGTTTTTTAATCTTGAACTTTAGTAATATTTGTTACATATATAACTACCTGTGGCCACTTTTCGGAATGTTCTAAGATTGCGGACCTGTGCACCTGTGTTATTACGCGTTGCAAGAGAGCACCATGTTCAAAGCGTTGTTGCCGTCATGGTAGAATGGAGATAAACCTACTGTGTTTTGAAATTTGATGTAGTCCCACTGTAGAATAGAAACCTCTTTATTAAAATTTGGAACCTCGCGCTAAAGCGCTCGGTTCCAAATTATAATAAAGAGGTATCTATTCTACAGTGGGACTACATCAAATTTCAAAACACAGTAGGTTTATCTCCTAATTGTGATATGAAAGGCAGGTCCCAGCTCACAGTGGCAGAGAGAATAGTGACGTCATAGTAACCGATGACATCACAATGGTCTGCAAAGCATTGAGATGCAAATTCGTTACAGTGATATAGTTCTCAAAGGAGATATTGCTTAATCTCACCCACGTGATAGCTCCTGTGGAAGCCAATTTGGGACATATTCCTGAGGCAATGGAGTTAACTGACTTTAAAAATCCTGTTTCCACCCTTGCCGAACTAGGCCGGAATTCCTGGGCTTGATCGTAGCACCACCTGTGGCTATTACGAGTTATGTCCCTTCTATGCCTCTCCTATGGACCAATCAGATTCCACCTCTTGTATCACTTGCATTTGCTTCAAACAAAATGGCGGCGCCCAGTCAAGACAATCTGCTCAATAATCAAGATCTATATTGTGATAAAACGAGTCTTCCATCGCGAAGTGCATCAAACCACGTGAGCACCTTGATTAAAATCATGAAAAGATTTAGAAAATATCTCTTGACAACGAGTTAGCGGTGTACATGCTTTGCAAATCCTGCAATCAACCGAAATCAGCAGGATAGTTTACGGACAGTATTTGATTTCGTTGCGTGATTTTGAGTGGACAATGCATAGACTTGTTAGTCCAGCCAAAATGTAACTCCATAATACCAGCCTAGTTCAGCAAGGGTGGAAACTGGACTCTTATAGTCAGTTAACTCCCTTGCCTCGGGAGGATGGTTTGGGATGATAAATGGCTTCACCAGTCAATCTGATAATGGCTTCTTAGAAACATCTCAGATGCATGATTTCAGGTAAATATATATAATAAGTTTCTTTCAAGACATTTCTTGTCAACTGTAAAAATTGGAATGTGTGCTGCAATTAACTAGTTAAAAAACAGTGTTAAATGAGATTTGAAGCCAGAATCACTTTTCCTCGTGTGAAATTACTTTCCCTGACATGTTTGATTTCCAAAATTAAAAAAAATGCGACACATGGAATGACACAAGACTACTGCATCCATTACATACTTATCATAAAAAAATTCAATTCAGTTCCTTCCATTCTGCCAAAATAGCAGTAATGTATGTCTCACAACTGTTTGGGTATATGTGTAAAGTAATGTATGTCACACAACTGTTTGGGTATATGTGTAAAGTATTGTATGTCACACAACTGTTTGGGTATATGTGTAAAGTAATGTATGTCACACAACTGTTTGGGTATATGTGTAAAGTAATGTATGTCACACAACTGTTTGGGTATATGTGTAAAGTAATGCATGTCACACAACTGTTTGGGTATATGTGTAAAGTAATGTATGTCACACAACTGTTTGGGTATGTGTAAAGTAATGTATGTCACACAACTGTTTGGGTATATGTGTAAAGTAATGCATGTCACACAACTGTTTGGGTATATGTGTAAAGTAATGTATGTCACACAACTGTTTGGGTATATATGTAAAGTAATGTATGTCACACAACTGTTTGGGTATATGTGTAAAGTAATGTATGTCACACAACTGTTTGGGTATATGTGTAAAGTAATGTATGTCACACAACTGTTTGGGTATATGTGTAAAGTAATGTATGTCACACAACTGTTTGGGTATATGTGTAAAGTAATGTATGTCACACAACTGTTTGGGTATATGTGTAAAGTAATGTATGTCACACAACTGTTTGGGTATATGTGTAAAGTAATGTATGTCACACAACTGTTTGGGTATATGTGTAAAGTAATGTATGTCACACAACTGTTTGGGTATATGTGTAAAGTAATGTATGTCACACAACTGTTTGGGTATATATATAAAGTAATGTATGTCACACAACTGTTTGGGTATATGTGTAAAGTAATGTATGTCACACAACTGTTTGGGTATATGTGTAAAGTAATGTATGTCACACAACTGTTTGGGTATATGTGTAAAGTAATGTATGTCACACAACTGTTTGGGTATATGTGTAAAGTAATGTATGTCACACAACTGTTTGGGTATATGTGTAAAGTAATGTATGTCACACAACTGTTTGGGTATATATATAAAGTAATGTATGTCACACAACTGTTTGGGTATATGTGTAAAGTAATGTATGTCACACAACTGTTTGGGTATATGTGTAAAGTAATGTATGTCACACAACTGTTTGGGTATATATATAAAGTAATGTATGTCACACAACTGTTTGGGTATATGTGTAAAGTAATGTATGTCTCACAACTGTTTGGGTATATATATAAAGTAATGTATGTCACACAACTGTTTGGGTATATGTGTAAAGTAATGTATGTCACACAACTGTTTGGGTATATATAAAGTAATGTATGTCACACAACTGTTTGGGTATATGTGTAAAGTAATGTATGTCACACAACTGTTTGGGTATATATATAAAGTAATGTATGTCTCACAACTGTTTGGGTATATGTGTAAAGTAATGTATGTCACACAACTGTTTGGGTATATGTGTAAAGTAATGTATGTCACACAACTGTTTGGGTATATGTGTAAAGTAATGTATGTCACACAACTGTTTGGGTATATATAAAGTAATGTATGTCACACAACTGTTTGGGTATATATATAAAATAATGTATGTCACACAACTGTTTGGGTATATGTGTAAAGTAATGTATGTCACACAACTGTTTGGGTATATGTGTAAAGTAATGCATGTCACACAACTGTTTGGGTATATGTGTAAAGTAATGTATGTCACACAACTGTTTGGGTATGTGTAAAGTAATGTATGTCACACAACTGTTTGGGTATATGTGTAAAGTAATGTATGTCACACAACTGTTTGGGTATATGTGTAAAGTAATGTATGTCACACAACTGTTTGGGTATATGTGTAAAGTAATGTATGTCACACAACTGTTTGGGTATATGTGTAAAGTAATGTATGTCACACAACTGTTTGGGTATATGTGTAAAGTAATGTATGTCACACAACTGTTTGGGTATATGTGTAAAGTAATGTATGTCACACAACTGTTTGGGTATATGTGTAAAGTAATGTATGTCACACAACTGTTTGGGTATATATATAAAATAATGTATGTCACACAACTGTTTGGGTATATGTGTAAAGTAATGTATGTCACACAACTGTTTGGGTATATGTGTAAAGTAATGCATGTCACACAACTGTTTGGGTATATGTGTAAAGTAATGTATGTCACAAAACTGTTTGGGTATGTGTAAAGTAATGTATGTCACACAACTGTTTGGGTATATGTGTAAAGTAATGTATGTCACACAACTGTTTGGGTATATGTGTAAAGTAATGTATGTCACACAACTGTTTGGGTATATGTGTAAAGTAATGTATGTCACACAACTGTTTGGGTATATGTGTAAAGTAATGTATGTCACACAACTGTTTGGGTATATGTGTAAAGTAATGTATGTCACACAACTGTTTGGGTATATGTGTAAAGTAATGTATGTCACACAACTGTTTGGGTATATGTGTAAAGTAATGTATGTCACACAACTGTTTGGGTATATGTGTAAAGTAATGTATGTCACACAACTGTTTGGGTATATGTGTAAAGTAATGTATGTCACACAACTGTTTGGGTATATGTGTAAAGTAATGTATGTCACACAACTGTTTGGGTATATGTGTAAAGTATTGTATGTCACACAACTGTTTGGGTATATGTGTAAAGTAATGTATGTCACACAACTGTTTGGGTATATATATAAAGTAATGTATGTCACACAACTGTTTGGGTATATGTGTAAAGTAATGTATGTCACACAACTGTTTGGGTATATGTGTAAAGTATTGTATGTCACACAACTGTTTGGGTATATGTGTAAAGTAATGTATGTCACACAACTGTTTGGGTATATATATAAAGTAATGTATGTCTCACAACTGTTTGGGTATATGTGTAAAGTAATGTATGTCACACAACTGTTTGGGTATATATATAAAATAATGTATGTCACACAACTGTTTGGGTATATATAAAGTAATGTATGTCTCACAACTGTTTGGGTATATATATAAAGTAATGTATGTCACACAACTGTTTGGGTATATATACTGAACCACAAAAGAAACATCACCCCAAATAACATTGCATGAAAAGTTGTCATTTAAATTTCTGGGTTATTTGTTACAAAGTTTCTAAAATTTAACATTACCTTGTCAGGTAAAATGAAATTTAATGATAAAAAAACAAAGCAGATGACAATAAAACTGATCGCCCAAATGCATCATGGCAACGGCCATGGTGAGCTGATGCACATGAGTTCCGTGTAAATTGAAATGCACATGCGTTCCCCCATTTCTTGTCCTATAAAAATCCACTCAGATCGGATAACATTCATTCGTTATTGAAGTGCTACCACATGCCAAGATTGACAAGAAATCAGCGACACCAAGCCCTTGGACGATTGCAAGCTGGACAAACTGCCCGGCAAGTAACCAATGCATTTCAAGTCCACGTAAGGACCATATACAGGCTCTAGTAACGATTCCAGACCACCAACACTACAGATGACCGACCATGTAGTGGAAGATGAAGATGTACAGATGACCCGCCCAACGTCAGGATCGTCAGATTGTGTGACAGTATCTTCAAGATTGCTTTGTTACTGCTGCGGAAACTGCTCGACAGACCATGGGGACACACCAGCTACACATTAGTGCAGACACCGTGCGTCGACGATTGACGAGCAGACACCCTCACTGTCACAGGCCACACTGAGGACCCATTCTGACACCACGTCATCGCCGGGACCGTCTTCGGTGGGCAACACAGCACCAGCATTGGCACCACCAGCAGTGGAGACGAGTCCTCTTCTCAGACGAGAGCCGTTACTGTATCTCAACAGCAGATGGCAGAGAGTCTGACGACGCTGTGGGGAACGTTATTCGGATGCTTGTGTTGTTGAAAGAGACTCGTGGGGTGGTCTGAGCATCATGGTTTGGGGTGGAATTGGTCTTGCACAGAGGGTCGGCCCTGTGATCTTCCAGAACATCGGTTCAGGGAGAGGCAATGGTGTCACAGCAGCTCGGTACATTGATCAAGTCTTGAGACCACACGCCATACCTCATTTGGCATGTCGCTGCAACTACGAGTTTCAGCATGATAACGTCCGTGCCTACACTGCGAGAGCAACAAGAGACTTCCTCCAGCAGAAGGGCATCAGAACCATGCAGTGGCCTGCCCTCAGTCCTGATTTAAATCCCATTGAGCCCCTTGGGACGAGATTCAAAGACGGCTGAATGACGTCCAACCAAGGCCGACAACTGCTGCTGAACTGCGTCAGGCGTTCCTTAGCGTGTGGGCTCAAGTGCCTATGGCCTTTATCAACCGCCTCATCCATTCCATGTATCCACGTTGCACGGCAGTCATCAATGCACATGGCAGACACACGAGATACTGACTTGTGATGCCATTTTCTCAGAGACTAGTGTTGTGTTTCACTTTAAGAACATTTGACACTTTAATTTCAACCTTGATGATCAGTTTTGCCAAGTTTCATCTTTTTGATATGTCTCAAAGTATGTTTACAGTGTTTGGACAAAAAGGGTTTCTCAAATATCTATCCATGGTGATGTTTCTTTTGCGGTTCAGTATATAAAAAGTGTATGTCACACAGCTGTTCGGGTATACGTAGAAAGAGCGTGCAATGGAACATTTCTGATAACATTTCGCTTTTTGTTTATATCCTAAGTGTGTCTTTACTTGAAATCGGAATAGACGGTAAAAAAAATGAAAAGAATAATCCCTCAAAACATCTTATAGTCTTGAAGCTTTCATCCTCTTCAATGTATGACCTTCAGATTCAAGGCCAAGGTCGGCACTGACCTTGAGGATGACATCAGACGTCTCCGCATCATCCGTGAGGAAATCGGCCCAGACCATCTGCTGGTGAGGAGGCATAGGCATCAATTTTACATTCAACCCGCTTGTTTAGCTTTTCAATTGTCCTCTCTCTTCAACATAAAGCAAACTATAAAAACACAAGAAACAGTTGACGATGTCAACTCACAATCACATTCAGGGGAGGTGCTACACGTATGGCCTAGCTACAGTGTGTTGGGTCTGTCTGTTACAGTTGACGATGTCAACTCACAATCACATTCAGGGGAGGTGCTACACGTATGGCCTAGCTACAGTGTGTTGGGTCTGTCTGTTACAGTTGACGATGTTAGCTCACAATCACATTCAGGGGAGGTGCTACACGTGTGGCCTAGATACAGTGTGTTGGGTCTGTCTGTTACAGTTGACGATGTAAGCTCACAATCACATTCAGGGGAGGTGCTACACATGTGGCCTAGCTACAGTGTGTTGGGTCTGTCTGTTACAGTTGATGATGTAAGCTCACAATCACATTCAGGGGAGGTGCTACACGTGTGGCCTAGCTACAGTGTGTTGGGTCTGTCTGTTACAGTTGACGATGTCAACTCACAATCACATTCAGGGGAGGTGCTACACGTGTGGCCTAGATACAGTGTGTTGGGTCTGTCTGTTACAGATGGTTGATGCCAACCAGAAGTGGGAGGTTCAGGAGGCCATTGACTGGATGAAGCAGATAGCTCAGTTCAACCTCACCTGGATCGAGGAGCCCACAAGTCCCGATGATGTCCTAGGTCATGCGGAGATTGCCAGGGTCAGTTTCCCACACAGCAAACATAATCCTTGACTGTCTCAACTCCAACCTTAACACACAGTCATTGTGTGTAGTGAGTGAGTGAGTTTGGTTTTACGCAGCTTTTAGCAATATTCCAGCAATATCACGGCAGGGGACACCAGAAATGGGCTTCACACATTGTACCCATGTCGGGAATCGAACCCTGGTCTTCGGCGTGACGAGCGAACTCTTTAACCACTAGGCTACCCGACCGCCCCTCATTGTGTGTAAAGAAGGACTGGGCGCCATGATCTGATGTCTTTTATCAGACTAGACATATTAATGCTATACTTAAAACTCATAATAATTAGAGTAAAATGTTTAATACAAGATTGATATATACTATTCAACTTTTGAAAGGAATATTTTTATTATTACTTGATTCACCCCACTTTTGACATTACTTATATGTAGATGTTGTTTAGTAGCAGAGCTCCAGATAACTTTTTGAGTAATTGAGTTTTTTACACGAAGGTTTCTATTTTCAATGAGTTATTACAATTTTCATTGGGTAAACTATATATTTTCACTCATCTATTCATCACTCTATTGGGTTTTTCCCAAAATGAGTACACATTTTAAGATTTAATAAAAAAATAAATAATGTTTTTAGATGTATAGAACGGTTCAAAATATGGGCTTGACTTTGAAAGTAAATTTGCTCGTAATTGAAATAAGGTCCGTTGTACGCATGCTGAAAAAGCTTCATTGGGTATTTACTCGTGCTGTTTTTATACATTTGAGTTTTTCATTTAATGCATGCATTTCTGTACGCAAGTTAATTGAAAGTAATTGGGTTTTGAATTTTTGGGGGGGTTATTTTACACAAATACGCAACTTATCTGTAGCTCTGTAGCTCAGTATCCTTATCAAAAGTTGATTGGTATGTATTATGAAATCTGAACTACCAGAGTGGGCTTAAATGACACAAATGAAACTTGGTATGCAGGATTCTAGATTCAGTCCCAGAGAATAGGTCCCATTTTCATTTAAACCATCACACATTTCACTTGTAAAGATCTTATATAGTACAGGAGCAACCAGGTTAAAAAGGTAATAGGTATGTACCCAACTGTTTTAGAATGGTCATTTTTGCCAAATGTCGGCCATTTTGAAAAATGGCTGCCATGACTGCCATTTGTTAAAAAATTTTAAAACATTTTTGCAATAAACTTTTTTTGTTGGTTACAAAAGTAACTCTGTACCATGTTTCATAATTTTATGACTTATGTAACAGTTATTACAAATATTGCATCTATCCCACCAAGCAGATATATTTATAAAATGGACCTACTTTTTACAGTAGGTATCTGGCAATAGACTGCCTCTAGTTTTTCATCTTCCCTAACGTTTGGCTTTACATAGTACCTAGAAATGTCCAGTAGGCTCTCACGGGTGGCACGGGTGGCATGGGTGGCCCAGTTGTCTAAGGTGCTGCAATTCGCTGTGAAAAGTTGTGTCCCTTGGGCACGCCAGAAACCTATGATTGTGGGTTCAAATTCCAGTTTGTCCCGATTATGTATGTTTCTAGGTTTGTCAGCACCATAACCTTGCTCGTGGGTTTCACAGAAGTGGTAAACTTGCATCACTTGGGGCTTTCCTCCCACATTAAGCTGCCACGCCGTGATATAACTGTAATACTGTTAAAAGCAGTGTTAAACATAATTCACTCACTCACTCACTCACTGGACTTGGCCTCCCGGCTAATACAAGTTTGTTGACATTGTATCAAAGATAATTAAGACTCTGTCATTCCCTGCATCCAGGCTCTGAACCCCCTCGGCATAGGCGTGGCAACCGGGGAGCAGTGCCAGAACAGGGTCATGTTCAAACAGTTCCTCAAGGCCAAGGCTCTCCAGTTCTGTCAGATTGACGCATGTCGTCTTGGAGGAGTCAGCGAGAACGTGGCCGTCATCCTCATGGCCAAGAAACTGGGAAGTAAGTTCTTACTTGTGGGATGATCCTTGAAGATCTGGGTTAGAATTGGTCTTCAGTAACCCATGCTTTTCACAATGGGATTGGGCAAGTCAGACTCGATGACTTGCTTACATGTCATCGTACCCCATTTGCGTAGATCAATGCTTATGATGTCAATCACTGGATTGTCTGGCCCAGAGTTGATTATTATGCCACATTACTTCAGCCCCTATATAATATGTTTTACGATACTTTTTTTTAAAGATCTGGATTAGAATAGGTCTTCAGGAAACCCATGCTTGCTGTAAAAGGCAACTATGCTTGCGTAACAGGCGACAAACAGATCAGGTGGTCAGGCTCATTGACTTTGTTGATGTGTGTCATCGTATCCCAAATGCATAGATTGATGCTCCAGATGTCAATGACTGGATTGTCTGGTCCAGACTCGTTTATTTACAGACTGACGTCATATAGCTGAGTGTAGCATTAAACAACAAAGAAAGAAAGAAACAAACAACATGAGGAAGGTCTTGTGATTGCCGTCAGATCTTGTGGATTTTAGACACACAGCTTCACTTCTTTTTTTCAAGAATGCCAGTAGTAACCAAACAAATCACTATTGAGTAAAATGGGTAAACAAATTAAATACATACATATATATTTGGTCCATATCCATTCCCAGTCACTGTATAACATCCTACCTGGTACCCAGTCACTGTATAACATCCTACCTGGTACCCAGTCACTGCATAACATCCTACCAGGTACCCAGTCACTGCATAACATCCTACCTGGTACCCAGTCACTGCATAACATCCTACCAGGTACCCAGTCACTGCATAACATCCTACCAGGTACCCAGTCACTGCATAACATCCTACCTGGTACCCAGTCACTGCATAACATCCTACCAGGTACCCAGTCACTGCATAACATCCTACCTGGTACCCAGTCACTGCATAACATCCTACCAGGTACCCAGTCACTGCATAACATCCTACCAGGTACCCAGTCACTGCATAACATCCTACCTGGTACCCAGTCACTGCATTACATCCTACCTGGTACCCAGTCACTGAATAACATCCTACCTGGTACCCAGTCACTTGCCTAAGGACAGACCAAGTGCAACCTGTGATTCAGTGTGCGGAAGGACTGAAGCCCGAAAAACTGTCAGCAGTCTTGCTAGCTCGGTGCACTAACCCACCCACCTCCACTCTGGTGCTGCTTAACTTTACCTGATGTGTGACTTGTGTGCTATGATTTTTCATGTCCTCTAAATACTAAGCTTTGTAAGGGAAGTGATATATGATAATGTAACTGTGTTGCCGTTCACAGACATCCCGATCTGTCCTCACGGTGGAGGAGTGGGTCTGTGTGAGTTTGTACAGCATCTCTCCATTTTTGACTACATCGCCGTTTCGGGCACCTATGACAACAGGTGAGTCCGGTTCTAGACTTCTGGAAGCTCATGATAAGTCATGGTTATGTCATAACTGCTGATATGTATATAACTAACTTGATATTTTGATGTTTATTTCATGCAAAAGGCTATTTATTGACATGTACATGAAAATGTAGAGATATCCAACAGGACTTATGTAAGACTGGCCTTGCTGACTGGTCTTTGGTGGTAAGCTAGGCTGACTAGTTTGTTGGTGGTAAGCTAGGCTGACTAGTTTGTTGGTGGTAAGCTAGGCTGACTAGTTTGTTGGCTGTAAGCTAGGCTGACTGGTTTGTTGGTGGTAAGCTAGGCTGACTGGTCTGTTGGTGGTAAGCTAGGCTGACTGGTCTGTTGAGGGTAAGCTTTGCTTGACTGGTCTCAAGCGTAACCCTCATGTTTGTAAGCTTTACTTTGTGTGTGTTACAGTGTGCATGTTTGTAAGCTTTACTTTGTGTGTGTTACAGAGTGCATGTTTGTAAGCTTTACTTTGTGTGTGTAACAGAGTGCATGTTTGTAAGCTATATTTTGTGTGTTACAGTGTGCATGTTTGTAAGCTTTACTTTGTGTGTGTTACAGAGTGCATGTTTGTTAGCTTTACTTTGTGTGTGTTACAGAGTGCATGTTTGTAAGCTATATTTTGTGTGTTACAGTGTGCATGTTTGTAAGCTTTACTTTGTGTGTGTTACAGAGTGCATGTTTGTTAGCTTTACTTTGTGTGTGTTACAGAGTGCATGTTTGTAAGCTTTAGTTTGTGTGTGTTACAGAGTGCATGTTTGTAAGCTTTACTTTGTGTGTGTTACAGTGTGCATGTTTGTAAGCTTTGCTTTGTGTGTGTTACAGAGTGCATGTTTGTAAGCTTTACTTTGTGTGTTACAGAGTGCATATTTGTAAGCTTTAGTTTGTGTGTTACAGAGTGCATGTTTGTAAGCTTTACTTTGTGTATTACAGAGTGCATATTTGTAAGCTTTAGTTTGTGTGTTACAAAGTGCATGTTTGTAAGCTTTACTTTGTGTATTACAGGGTGCATGTTTGTAAGCTTTACTTTGTGTATTACAGAGTGACAGAGTATGTTGATCATCTTCATGAGAACTTCAAGAACCCCTGCATTGTAAAGAATGGGAGATATGTTGTCCCTAAGGTAGAGTATTTGGTGTGCTCAGTACATGCATCACCTAACCAAATTTCCACACCAAGTCACTACCTGCCTGGTAGTCATCTGTGTATCATTCAAGTTGTCTCACAACTGTTAGGTTTCCTCGCTGTATACTGAGACTGTACAGTTGCCCCAGTGTGTGTATTCTAGACTGTACAGTTGCCCCAGTGTGTGTATTCTAGACTGTACAGTTGCCCCAGCATGTGTATCTAGACTGTACAGTTGCCCCAGCATGTGTATTCTAGACTGTACAGTTGCCCCAGCATGTGTATTCTAGACTGTACAGTTGCCCCAGCATGTGTATCTTGACTGTACAGTTGCCCCAGCATGTGTATTCTAGACTGTACAGTTGCCCCAGCATGTGTATTCTAGTCTGTACAGTTGCCCCAGTGTGTGTATTCTAGACTGTACAGTTGCCCCAGCCTGTGTATTCTAGACTGTACAGTTGCCCCAGCATGTGTATTCTAGACTGTACAGTTGCCCCAGCATGTGTATTCTAGACTGTACAGTTGCCCCAGCATGTGTATTCTAGACTGTTATGTTAACCGGATGTTGTGTATTCTAGACTGTTATGTTAACCCGGGTGTTGTGTATTCTTAGACTGTTATGTTAACCGGGTGTTGTGTATTATAGACTGTTATGTTAACTGGGTGTTGTGTATTCTAGACTGTTATGTTAACGGGTGTTGTGTATTCTTAGACTGTTATGTTAACCCGGGTGTTGTGTATTCTAGACTGTTATGTTAACCGGGTGTTGTGTATTCTAGACTGTTATGTTAACTGGGTGTTGTGTATTCTAGACTGTTATGTTAACCGGGTGTTGTGTATTCTAGACTGTTATGTTAACCCGGGTGTTGTGTATTCTTAGACTGTTATGTTAACCTGGTGTTGTGTATTCTAAGACTGTAATGTTAACCGGGTGTTGTGTATTCTAGACTGTTATGTTAACCGGGTGTTGTGTATTCTAAGACTGTTATGTTAACCGGTGTTGTGTATTTTAAGACTGTTATGTTAACCGGGTGTTGTGTATTCTAAGACTGTTATGTTAACCTGGTGTTGTGTATACTAAGACTGTTATGTTAACCGGGTGTTGTGTATTCTTAGACTGTTATGTTAACCGGGTGTTGTGTATTCTAGACTGTTATGTTAACTGGGTGTTGTGTATTCTAGACTATTATGTTAACCGGGTGTTGTGTATTCTAGACTGTTATGTTAACTGGGTGTTGTGTATTCTAGACTGTTATGTTAACCAGGTGTTGTGTATTCTAGACTGTTATGTTAACCGGGTGTTGTGTATTCTAGACTGTTATGTTAACCGGGTGTTATGTATTCTAGACTGTTATGTAAACTGGGTGTTGTGCATTCTAGACTGTTATGTTAACCGGGTGTTGTGTATTCTAGACTGTTATGTTAACCAGGTGTTGTGTATTCTAGAGTGTTATGTTAACCAGGTGTTGTGTATTCTAGACTGTTATGTTAACTGGGTGTTGTGTATTCTAGACTGTTATGTTAACCCGGGTGTTGTGTATTCTAGACTGTTATGTTAACCGGGTGTTGTGTATTCTAGACTGTTATGTTAACTGGGTGTTGTGTATTCTAGACTGTTATGTTAACCCGGGTGTTGTGTATTCTAGACTGTTATGTTAACCGGGTGTTGTGTATTCTAGACTGTTATGTTAACTGGGTGTTGTGTATTCTAGACTGTTATGTTAACTGGGTGTTGTGTATTCTAGACTGTTATGTTAACCGGGTGTTGTGTATTCTAGACTGTTATGTTAACCGGTGTTGTGTATTCTAAGACTGTTATGTTAACCGGGTGTTGTGTATTCTAGACTGTTATGTTAACCGGATGTTGTGTATTCTAGACTGTTATGTTAACCGGTGTTGTGTATTCTAAGACTGTTATGTTAACCGGATGTTGTGTATTCTAGACTGTTATGTTAACCGGATGTTGTGTATTCTAGACTGTTATGTTAACCGGGTGTTGTGTATTCTAGACTGTTATGTTAACCAGGTGTTGTGTATTCTAGACTGTTATGTTAACCGGGTGTTGTGTATTCTAGACTGTTATGTTAACCGGATGTTGTGTATTCTAGACTGTTATGTTAACTGGGTGTTGTGTATTCTAAGACTGTTATGTTAACCGGTTGTTGTGTATTCTAGACTGTTATGTTAACCGGGTGTTGTGTATTCTAAGACTGTTATGTTAACCGGGTGTTGTGTATTCTAAGACTGTTATGTTAACCCGGTGTTGTGTATTCTAGACTGTTATGTTAACCGGGTGTTGTGTATTCTAGACTGTTATGTTAACCGGGTGTTGTGTATTCTAGACTGTTATGTTAACCGGGTGTTGTGTATTCTAAGACTGTTATGTTAACCGGGTGTTGTGTATTCTAAGACTGTTATGTTAACCGGGTGTTGTGTATTCTAGACTGTTATGTTAACCGGGTGTTGTGTATTCTAAGACTGTTATGTTAACCGGGTGTTGTGTATTCTAAGACTGTTATGTTAACCGGGTGTTGTGTATTCTAGACTGTTATGTTAACCGGGTGTTGTGTATTCTAGACTATTATGTTAACCGGGTGTTGTGTATTCTAGACTATTATGTTAACCGGGTGTTGTGTATTCTAGACTATTATGTTAACCGGATGTTGTGTATTCAAAGACTTGTTTCCCTGGTGCCAAGTATTTTTAACTGTTGTGTTTCAGGCTCCGGGCTACAGTGCCGATATGCTGGAATCCTCCCTGGACAAGTTTGAGTACCCTACAGGAGCTGAGTGGAAGAGGCTGATAGCAGAGGGGGTGTACAGTGCAGAGTAGGGGTGTACAGTGCAGAGTAGGGGTGTACAGTACAGAGTAGAGGTGTGGTGTGAGTAGGGGTGTACAGTGCAGAGTAGGGGTGTGGTTTGAGTAGGGGTGTACAGTGCAGAGTAGGGGTGTGGTGTGAGTAGGGGTGTACAGTGCAGAGTAGGGGTGTACAGTGCAGAGTAGGGGTGTACAGTGCAGAGTAGGGGTGTGGTGTGAGTAGGGGTGTACAGTGCAGAGTAGGGGTGTACAGTGCAGAGTAGGGGTGTACAGTGCAGAGTAGGGGTGTGGTGTGAGTAGGGGTGTACAGTGCAGAGTAGGGGTGTGGTGTGAGTAGGGGTGTACAGTGCAGCGTAGGGGTGTGGTGTGAGTAGGGGTGTACAGTGCAGAGTAGGGGTGTACAGTGCAGAGTAGGGGTGTACAGTGCAGAGTAGGGGTGTGGTGTGAGTAGGGGTGTACAGTGCAGAGTAGGGGTGTACAGTGCAGAGTAGGGGTGTACAGTGCAGAGTAGGGGTGTACAGTGCAGAGTAGGGGTGTGGTGTAAGTAGGGGTGTACAGTGCAGAGTAGGGGTGTACAGTGCAGCGTAGGGGTGTGCTGTGAGTAGGGGTGTACAGTGCAGAGTAGGGGTGTACAGTGCAGAGTAGGGGTGTGGTGTGAGTAGGGGTGTACAGTGCAGAGTAGGGGTGTACAGTGCAGCGTAGGGGTGTGCTGTGAGTAGGGGTGTACAGTGCAGAGTAGGGGTGTACAGTGCAGAGTAGGGGTGTACAGTGCAGAGTAGGGGTGTACAGTGCAGAGTAGGGGTGTGGTGTGAGTAGGGGTGTACAGTGCAGAGTAGGGGTGTACAGTGCAGAGTAGGGGTGTGGTGTGAGTAGGGGTGTACAGTGCAGAGTAGGGGTGTACAGTGCAGCGTAGGGGTGTGCTGTGAGTAGGGGTGTGGTGTGAGTAGGGGTGTACAGTGCAGAGTAGGGGTGTACAGTGCAGCGTAGGGGTGTGCTGTGAGTAGGGGTGTACAGTGCAGAGTAGGGGTGTACAGTGCAGAGTAGGGGTGTGCTGTGAGTAGGGGTGTACAGTGCAGAGTAGGGATGTACAGTGCAGAGTAGGGGTGTGGTGTGAGTAGGGGTGTACAGTGCAGAGTAGGGGTGTGCAGAGTAGGGGTGTGGTGTGAGTAGGGGTGTACAGTGCAGAGTAGGGGTGTACAGTGCAGCGTAGGGGTGTGCTATGAGTAGGGGTGTACAGTGCAGAGTAGGGGTGTACAGTGCAGAGTAGGGGTGTACAGTGCAGAGTAGGGGTGTACAGTGCAGAGTAGGGGTGTGGTGTGAGTAGGGGTGTACAGTGCAGAGTAGGGGTGTACAGTGCAGAGTAGGGGTGTGCTGTGTGTAGGGGTGTACAGTGCAGAGTAGGGGTGTGGTGTGAGTAGGGGTGTACAGTGCAGAGTAGGGGTGTACAGTGCAGAGTAGGGGTGTCAGTATGGAGAAGGGTAAGGATGTGTGTGAGTCAGTGTGGAGAAGGGCTGGGGTTGTTCAGTATATGGTAAGGGTGTGTGTGGGGGTTGTTCTGTGTAGTTTGGCCGGAGGTGTTCAGTACATTAAAAGTTCAGTACATGTATATTTAAAGCAGTAATTGTTTATTGTTAAGCAAGTTTATCTCTGCAGCCATTGAAATATGCAGCTACTCGCCGACTCGCCTTGCATCAAAACACGTGGCTTGTGTACTCGCGGGCAGATGACCACGGAGTAAGCTGATCACTGTGTCGAATTAACGAGACTGATTAATGAGTGATTTCAGCAATTCGTTGCAAATTAGGTGTGTCAGAGTCGGAGTGCGAGACTGTCGGATTAACGGGTCTAAATAGCACTGATTAAATCAGTTCCCATCATTTGTGTCGGATAAAGCCGATTGTCAGATTAACAAGACTTGACTGTATATGGTAAGGGTGTACATGTGTGTAGGGGGTTGTTCAGTGTGGAGTAGGGCAGGGGTCGTTCAGTGTATAGTAATGGTGTGTGGAGAGGTTGTTCTGTGTAGAGTTGGGCTGGTGGTGTTCAGTGTATATGGGTCGGTGAGGTGTAGAGGTGGGATTGTGAAGGTGATGGAGGTGGGGGTAGGGGATATAGTGTACATCACATAGTTAGTGTGGGTGTACAGTGCTTTCATCAGTACTTATGGCAATATGTTACATTAAGGGTAACACATCCAGATCTCCCCCGTCCTGATGGCAGCTTGTTTCTGGTGCAGCTGCACCCTCTCAAGGCATTCCAGAGATGTTTGAAATAGAATCTTTCTTTTCACGCTCTTCATCAGATTTCAGTATTATCTCTCATTGTCCCCCGCCGCGCGAAAGCGCGGATCGGGGGATATAGTATTCACGACCGTCCGTGCGTCCCACCTGTTTGTTGCCGCGATATCTCAAGAACTAAACGCTGGATTGTCTTCATATTTGGAACTATGGTGTATATACAGACTCCGCAGACACCAGTCGGTTTGGGTGACCTTGACCCCATTTTCAAGGTCACAGCTGGCAAATCTGCTTTTGGAGTTGGAAAACGGTGTTGCCGCAATATCTCAAGAACTAATCGCTGGATTGTCGTCATATTTGGTACTATGGTATATATACAGGCGGGGGACATTTCGTCACTTTGTGACAAATACTTGTTTGTAGATTGATTTTTGTAGAAGCATGATTCAGATGGAAATAGGTTTTTCATGTAGATCACCGAAATGAACCAGTGATATTTCAAGTCAGTGTGATATTGGCACCCAAGATGATATTATTTAATTCATAAGTCACATGAACAATATTATTATTCTTTGATTCCAGTTCATTCATTATCCAGGTCTTGTTGAGGTACGACTGTCTACATATAGTATGTTAATAGTCAGATAACCTTTCATGCATGTTATCTTGATTGTAGTCTCTAGTCAGAATAAACTCAATTCAGGAATCATCTTGTGTAAGTTTTTATTCAAAATAAATATACATGTACATTTAATTTTGTACAAATATGACTTTATCAATATATTTGGAACAATTTTCCTTTTAAGATTATATATCTGTAATGTAGAATACAAGTAGAGTTGGTCACACACTACGACATAAACAAGTAGTTATATTTCCACGGGAAGTGTTTGTGTACAGCGTATGGGAGACGCCTGAATGTCCCTGAATGGAGACATACGGGTGTCAGTAACAGACATTCATCAGAAAAGTACAAAGACATGAAACAGTTGAAACTCGACATGGACCTCGATCATTCGGTCACCTCAGGAAAGGCAAGGCATAGCCCGGATGTAGTACAGAGTACCATTGCCGGAGTTGTCATCCCTATTGTTTCATCACCTCCATCACACAACGTGGTCACTGAAGAGACTAACTTGAAACTTAGCATGTAACGATTGACCAAATATTCGATGCATTGCAATCTGTGATGAACGATACATATATTTATCACCATGGAGACGATACAAAAGCTAGCATTTACAGTTACGGTGCTCCTGAGGCTGTCGAGAGTTGCTATGGTATTTAAATCGAGGGACCCTCTGACAAAGACACCTTGATCTTCATGCTTAATTTTGAAATCTGAAACAATACACATTCATTCTGTAATTCAGGTGTAGATGTACACACATAACCTTCGTTCTCAAGATGTTTTGACGCCTACATTGTTGTCATTTCAATATGTTTTAGTGCGCAAAAACTTCTTGAAATGAAGTTGCATTTCTGCAACAGCTCGTATCGTATCATGTATCACATCATGACCCTACCATTGAAATACATGTCGTATCGTGATCCTACCATTGAAATACATGTCGTATTGTGATCCTACCATTGAAATACATGTCGTATCTTGATCCTACCATTAAAATACATGTTGTATCGTGATCCTACAATTGAAATACATGTTGTATTATGATCCTACCATTGAAATACATGTCGTATCGTGATCCTACCATTGAAATACATGTCGTATCGTGACCCTACCATTGAAATACATGTCATATCGTCATCTTACCATTAAAATACATGTTGCATCGTGACCCTACATGTCGTATCATGATCCTACCATTGAAATACATGTCGTATCGTGACCCTACCATTGAAATACGAGTCGCATCGTGACCCTACCATTGAAATACATGTCGTATCGTGACCCTACCATTGAAATACATGTCGTATCGTGACCCTACCATTGAAATACGAGTCGCATCGTGACCCTACCATTGAAATACATGTCGCATCGTGACCCTACCATTGAAATACAAGTCGCATCGTGATCCTACCATTGAAATACAAGTCGCATCGTGATCCTACCATTGAGATATGTGTTGTGTCGTATCGTGTCTGTGTACAGGCCTACCGACAATACCATCAGGTATGAGGAATCCTTAGATAAACTTACAACTGAAACAGCTTACCTCGCAGTCTCAAACTTTTATTCCGATGGAATGTACATGTATAACAATTTCTCATGTACCACCAATGTATAACAATTATTCATGTATCATGTATAACAATTCCTCATGTACAATGTATAACAATTATTCATGTAACATGTACAATGTTCAACAATTTCTAATGTATAACTCGAGTTGTTTTCCTAGTCATACAAACATATTGCACGTAGATTGTCTGTGAGTTGTCTGCCATTAGGACGCTGCATACTGTGATCTGAACTCATCAAATATGTAACTTGGGATGAAGGACTCCACCGACTGAAACAAGGGGATGCAAACTTGAAAGTAATTACCCAGTAATACCAATAATAGTTTCAGATACAATTTTTGCCGATCCTTGCATTAAAATCCTTTAAAGTTATATCATTGGGTGTGTCTTGACCGAATGACTGGTAGATTCCAAGAAAACGTGTGTACAGCTGATCGCTGTGTCCGGCTTAGTTTACGAGAAAATTCACAAGGTAATCTTAATCCCTGGATATAAAACAATGACTAGCAGAACCAAAAATACAATTTAAACGGTAAATCAACATGTCTGGTGATTTTTTATCTCAAATTTCGAATTTGTACTGACCAAGTTTCTCATCACCCATTCGTTTGCCGGACTTCACTATAGGGATACGGTGTAATATTTTTCTGCGCTTGGTATTCGGATTTTCTTTGTCCAAAATACTGAATCCGCTAGAGGGGTGCGCGCATTATACATGGGTGCGCACTATACTCAAGAAAATACGGTAATATGCACGAAGTATACAGAGAAAATCTCCCCCTTGTGTTTTGATATGAAAAATATCAACCAAAAAATTCTATAAGTCTCTGAGGAGCCAAGGAGTTTTAAACTTTTATCAGTGAATAAGAGGTGATGAAGGAGTAAGTATATACTCCCAAACGTTGTGTTCCTCATTATAAAGAAGTTGACATCCACAAATTCTCTTCCTAAATGTGTACCACTTCTAAATGCCTTCCAAAGACTTTATCAATGAATGTTGATAATTTTGATGTCCAAAGACACAAGGGTGAGATTGTATTTATTATCCAACATTATTTTCCCAACTTTTTCAAATTGTAAACAGTCATAAGCAGTGTCTTGAGTGTAAAAAGTACTGCTAACAGCTTCAGAGGCAGAGAGATTGGTGCTATCATTTGACGATATGGTAACCGATGAAATCACAACAGTGCAATTTCAATGCAGCAATATCACCTTGGAGAGATTGTTTGAACTCACCAAAGTGATATCTACGGTGGCTGCCAGTTTTGGATGATATACCGTATTCGACATAATAAGCGCCCAGGGCGCTCTCAAAATTAGAAATGGGGGCTCTCATTAGAATATATATTTTTTAGTTTAAAGAGCGTAAATTTCGTGGTTTATGCTGAAATGTTTATAAACGACAGATATATTTTTCCAGAATTTAATTGCCAATAATTAAGGGTGCATATAACAAACGTATTGTGCACGAATAAATTGCCTTGTGTACATCTATCAATCAGAAGGGGTGCTAATTGGGATTGTTCACTAGCCAATATATTATCAAATATCGCCATGGGCCCTTATTAGAGCTGGGTGCTTATTACGTCGAATACAGTATACTGTTCACACTTAGGGACCATTCATTTATAACAGTGGTGGGTTGGTCAGAGGGAGTCAGGTGAGGTTCACGAAAAAATGTGAGTCTCTGGGGTAGGCATAAAAAATAATGCACATATTTTGGGAGGGTAAGGAAATGGACATTTCATTATAAAAATATAAAGTACTTTTGCATTTTGTCTTCTTAAGGGAGGGTCATCCAAATATATGACAAGCATTAGAAGAGGGTAATTATAAATGGTAGTTCAGTGCATCAAAAACCTCTGATAATCGCCCCCCATCCACCACCAACCCCCCTGTAATAAATGACCGGTCCCTTATCCTAACAAAAGAAATGTCCACACTGGCGAACCAATCAGAATCAACACTTTAACTACTTAAAGTTCATGGCAGGGTAAGTGTAAGACTTTCATGCAATTTCAGTTCGCCGACAAACAAAGGTGTATGTTATTATTGATCTCTCTCAACCTTGCCGAGGCTTGTCCCCTTTACCCCCCCTCCCACCAACTCACCTTCCTGGGCATGCCGCTGTAGAAGATGAAGTCTTCCAGGAAGATGAGGACGTTGATGATATCCTGGGAGGCCTCGGGGGTCCGTGAACTGGAGGTAGGTGATGAGGAATACGTTTAAGCATGATAGTATCTCAGTCTAAGGTGAGATGTTCATGGAATGACATGCCGAAGGCCCCTTGATCTAATTAGAGCATCAATATGCCGGTATGTTTTTAAACACCCCAAAAACGTATCACTACACACATCCGTGCTCTTGAATTTATATTTGAGACAATATTTTAGCCTTTTGTGGTAACCACTGAATGCTGCTAGAGTTATTCGGAATACTTGTATACTACAATTTGATATACTAATGAATATGTATCACAATATGTTTGTAAAATACAGAAATACTGCAATTTTTTCAAAACAATACATATTTTTATCGCCTTGGCAAAGTTGACGAAAGTGACAAGTCAAAATGGAATTATGAAATTCAGAATTGTCACTGATCCACGAAACTATTCATGGCCAGCTTTTTGTATATAAGTGACAATTATGTATGCACTGTGACCTTAGCAACATTAAAAGAAATGGTGGACGAACACATGCAATGCATTGTGGCATGTATAGCAATACAGGAATTGTTATTGCAATAAAGTCACGCCAGTACCCATTACTAACGCTGTCAAGCTGCTGCCATGCACATACCTGCCAAGGACCTCCACCACGGAGCGGACATACTGCCCCAGGAAAGCCAGGAAGAAGTTGATGTTGTCCGAGTGGAACTGTTTCAACAGCGTGTAGCAGCCCACAATAAATGTTGGGGAGTCCAGCGGGTCAGTAGCCTTCTTGGACATCATGCCACCTGTCAACACAGATTCATACATAGACAGGGTTTTACTGGGACAGCAGCCTTCTTGGACACCATGCCACCTGTCAACACAGATTCTTACATAGACACGGTTTTACTGGGTCAGTAGCCTTCTTGGACACCATGACACCTGTCAACACAGATTCTTACATAGACAGGGTTTTACTGGGTCAGTAGCCTTCTTGGACACCATGCCACCTGTCAACACAGATTCATACACAGACAGGGTTTTACTGGGTCAGTAGCCTTCTTGGACACCATGCCACCTGTCAACACAGATTCATACACAGACAGGGTTTTACTGGGTCAGTAGCCTTCTTGGACACCATGCCACCTGTCAACACAGATTCATACATAGACTGGGTTTTACTGGGTCAGTAGTCTTCTTGGACACCATGCCACCTATCAACACAGATTCATACACAGACAGGGTTTTACTGGGTCAGTAGCCTTCCTGGACACCATGCCACCTGTCAACACAGATTCATACATAGACAGGGTTTTACTGGGTCAGTAGCCTTCTTGGACACCCTGCCACCTGTCAACACAGATTCATACACAGACTGGGTTTTAGTGGGACAGTAGCCTTCCTGGACACCATGCCACCTGTCCACACAGATTCATACATAGACTGGGTTTTACTGGGTCAGTAGCCTTCTTGGACACCCTGCCACCTGTCAACACTGATTCATACACAGACAGGGTTTTACTGGGTCAGTAGCCTTCTTGGACACCCTGCCACCTGTCAACACAGATTCTTACATAGACAGGGTTTTACTGGGTCAGTAGCCTTCTTGGACACCCTGCCACCTGTCAACACAGATTCATACATAGACTGGGTTTTACTGGGTCAGTAGCCTTCTTGGACACCATGCCACCTGTCAACACAGATTCATACATAGACTGGGTTTTACTGGGTCAGTAGCCTTCTGAGACACCATGCCTTAAACAACAACAAAAACCACAAAAAAAACCACAACACTTAACAAATGTTGGTTTAGACAGGGTCAATCTGATAGCAGATACATGTCAATATACATTTTCGTTTCAATTATCAAAATAATATGACAATTTTTATAATTTTTCCGAGATAAAATGCAATGCTGGTTATACTCATAACTTGACAGTAAACTGATGAACGTAGAACCTTATCAATTCATGTATTTGATCCCTGATTGCAAGGCATCAATTGTGTTGTTTTTGCAAAGCTTAGAAGGGGAGACAACTCACTGATGCTTTTGTTGTAGACAAGTTTTGGCAACTGAGAGATGGTAAACAGGAAGTTGAAGAGAGGGAAGTAGGGCAGGCGGGCCGTTGTGATGTAGATCTGGAACAGTGAAACAACATTCAAACACCAGCTTTCACATATAATATCTGTACCGAAATGGAGAATCAACCCAGATCTCCTAAATCACCAGCCAACTATTAGATCTCTAGATACTAGACCATCTCTGTCTTTCCAATGTCAAACTTTATCATTTATTCTGATCAAACTGCACATAAATTCTCAATGAAAGGAACAAGGAGAGAAATCATAGACATGATCATCTAAATGATTTCAACTACACAATGGGGTTACCCACAGATGTCTTGGGGCGGTCGGGTAGCCTAGTGGTTAAAGCGTTCGCTCGTCATGCTGAAGACCCGGGTTCGATTCCCGACATGGGTACAATGTGTGAAGCCCATTTCTGGAGTCCCCCGCCGTGATATTGCTGGAATATTGCTAAAAGCGGCGTAAAACCATACTCACCCTCTCACTCACTCACTACAGCCTTAGAAATATAGAGGACTTGTGAAAACGTTTGAATGGCATTTAGAAGTGATACACATAAGAGAGAGAGTTTATGGATGTAAACTTTTTTATTATAAGGTGAACGATGAAGGAGTAAGCATACTCCAAATCTTTGTGTTCCTCATTATAAAGAAGTTGACATCCATAAATTCTCACTCTTAGTGTCAGCCTTATTTCACTAGTCCTTGGCCATGGCACAATTTAGTAGTCTCGGGCTAGTTGACTCATGAGATTTGGCTGTTTGTATGAATGTTTATGCAGTTGCTCATTGTATACGGGGCATGTTGGTGGATTCTGTAATCAGCTACCAAGACATCTGTGAGCGTGAGTGATTGCTTCACACATTGTTCTAAGGCTGTACAAATGCAATGAGACTGCAGGCTGCAGCACCTTGAGGAGTGGGTTGTGGAAGCCGGCAGACTCCAGGTAGGAGGTGAGCTCATACATCAGGGGGTTCTCCTCTTTGGGGTAGGGCAGACTCGGGTCCTGGTAGTGCCGCTCGATGTCAGCCAACAGGGCGCTGGAGGAGGGGGGAGAGATGAGTCACTACCATCACAAAATGCAGAGTTCGAAATTAATCATGAAAATTAGTTTCATTTTTAAAACAGAAATATTGAAAGGGTGCCCTTGATTCAAATGCAGACAAACTCATTTGCCTTGTGTCGGAATTAGTTGATTGCCTGTTACCCGAGGCTAAAAACATTTTTGTCAGGCTAGTTACATGTATGAGCTACCAGTCCATCTGACTTGTTGGAAGTAAGGATTGTTACGGACACGGCAATGCCCCAAGATCCCCTTAGTTCTATGGATGTATCCTAAGGAGGTGTCAGATCCTCATACTGGCAGGTATCGTATCGGGAATAAAAGATCTGATTTTACCCAGATTGTTCAGATGCAGGCAGAATAGATGTTGGAGCAAGCTCCCACTACACAACAGTTCACGTGCATCTACTTCTAAGGGGTTTGGTTGGCCTTACTTGTTCATGGTCTGCAAGGCATTAGCATGGAACTTGGAGTCGAACTTGCACGATGTGTTGAGCTCATAGGCGATCTGTCGTCTCAGCAGCTGCATCTGCCCAACCTGCAGGAACATTCACCATCACAACATTGTGATCATCACATCAGAGAGAAACCAGTGTCTTCCTTGATCGATTATGGGTTGATAAAAGGTGTCAATCTCTACTCCAAATGTTGACACATCAAAAGTACTCCATGTAAAATTGAGACCATATCAACCTGGGCCATGGCAATCTTAGCACTACGACTGTCATAAGTCTTTGTTAAAGTATGGAAGTTACAATGATCTTAGCACTAAGAACGTATTGTGGAATTCAGCCTTGGGTTACAATGTTACCACTCTGGCTAGGGTAAGCCCAGTACTTTAACACAAACCTATGACAGTCTCAGCACTAAGGTCACTTTGTCCAGCAGGGCCTGGGTTACAATGTTACCACTCGGGCTAGGCCCATACTATACTGACTGATAATCACTTTGAGGAAAGGAACCCTGATCCAAAGAAATAGTTCTCAGCATGCCCTAATGTGATGTTAGAATGACCTGATTCCATGCTCCTGGGACAGCAGCTTGGCAGAACCTAGAAACTGTATATGAACACACTGTACAAGCCTCATCGGCCTACCTCCGACACAACACAATGGATGAATGGACGGGGCTTGCAACTCACCCTGAGGATAATGTCCAGGAATGGCGCCCACAGCTTGTTGGCCTTGGAGATAGCCTGGGAGTACACCTTCTGGGGTTGGGCTGTGGACAAGGACAGGGTCGTGAATGGGGTCGCACATTGGGGCAGTGCAAAACGTTTGGATGGGGATGCACTTCAGGGCAGTGCAGGGTGTGTGTGGCTGCCTGTACTAATCTGGATTAATGCCGGTTCTAGTGCTAGCCCACTGAGATACCATGCCACAGCTCAACATGAATACCCCAAAGTACCTTCAATGTAGCACTGATGAGTGACATTATGCGTGCAGTACTTTTAATCTCATAACAGGTGTTAGCGATCTTAATAATCAAATTAATGTTTGATTTATCAAATCACACAGTGATGTACACAATGACAATCTACAGACATCTGATCCTAAGATACTGTCGAACACGGAGAAAGTGCTATGGATAATATCAAGAACCAATATCTACCAGTCAACTGATCTAGGCCTAATGGATATACATATACAACTTCTTTATTACAATCAGTGCTACGTTTTGGTGTAGATTGTAACACCGTTATCAAGCAAGTGATGTAATATCTACCTCGAAACGTCGCATTCATTGTAATACAGAAGTTGTATAGCCATAGAATTATCTCCCTTGTTCATCATACCAACTTTATATGCCACTTAAAGAAATTATGATATTGTCCATTGTTACAAAATGGAGCTCATTGAAACTAAAACATTGTCGCTATCTAGATGAAAAAACATCACATCAAAGATCCTGATAAACTTTGCATGTCTTGCTTATTTGGAATAAAAACAACCAATATTTCTGAAGACCCAAAGTTAATTTAAATGTCTGTCAAAGTTTTGCTGACTTTTTGCACTCAAGATTGATAAACATTTCTGTCCTATACTCTGTGTCTGTGAAACTCACGGATGGTGCCCTGGAGGGGGTTGAGAGTCCTGGTGACCGAGCCGAAGAACTCCATCCAGTTCTTGTCGCGGAAGACGCCCCTCATGATCTGCATCTGGTAGCTCTGCAACTCCTTGACGATCATGAAACACAGCAGACGGTCCAGACCAGACAGCCCGAAACTCCCTACAGCTCTCTGGGGACAGAATGTACAGGTTTAATGACACAGATGATCCTCAATAACAGCCCCTAACTCCCTACAGCTCTCTGGGGACAGAATTAACAGGTTTAATCACACAGATGATCCTCAATAACAGCCCCTAACTCCCTACAGCTCTCTGGGGACAGAATGTACAGATATAATCACACAGATGATCCTCAATAACAGCCCCTAACTCCCTACTGCTCTCTGGGGACAGAATTAACAGGTTTAATCACACAGATGATCCTCAATAACAGCCCCTAACTCCCTACTGCTCTCTGGGGACAGAATTAACAGGTTTAATCACACAGATGATCCTCAATAACAGCCCCTAACTCCCTACAGCTCTCTGGGGACAGAATGTACAGATATAATCACACAGATGATCCTCAATAACAGCCCCTAACTCCCTACTGCTCTCTGGGGACAGAATTAACAGGTTTAATCACACAGATGATCCTCAATAACAGCCCCTAACTCCCTACAGCTCTCTGGGGACAGAATGTACAGGTTTAATCACACAGATGATCCTCAATAACAGCCCCTAACTCCCTACAGCTCTCTGGGGACAGGATGTACAGGTTTAATCACACAGATGATCCTCAATAACAGCCCCTAACTCCCTACAGCCCTCTGGGGACAGAATGTACAGGTTTAATCGCACAGATGATCCTCAATAACAGCCCCTAACTCCCTACAGCTCTCTGGGGACAGAATGTACAGATATAATCACACAGATGATCCTCAATAACAGCCCCTAACTCCCTACTGCTCTCTGGGGACAGAATTAACAGGTTTAATCACACAGATGATCCTCAATAACAGCCCCTAACTCCCTACAGCTCTCTGGGGACAGAATGTACAGGTTTAATCACACAGATGATCCTCAATAACAGCCCCTAACTCCCTACTGCTCTCTGGGGACAGAATGTACAGGTTTAATCATACAGATGATCCTCAATAACAGCCCCTAACTCCCTACAGCTCTCTTGGGACAGGATGTACAGGTTTAATCGCACAGATGATCCTCAATAACAGCCCCTAACTCCCTACAGCCCTCTGGGGACAGAATGTACAGGTTTAATCGCACAGATGATCCTCAATAACAGCCCCTAACTCCCTACAGCTCTCTGGGGACAGAATGTACAGATATAATCACACAGATGATCCTCAATAACAGCCCCTAACTCCCTACAGCTCTCTTGGGACAGGATGTACAGGTTTAACGACACAGATGATCCTCAATAACAGCCCCTAACTCCCTACAGCTCTCTTGGGACAGGATGTACAGGTTTAATCACACAGATGATCCTCAATAACAGCCCCTGACTCCCTACAGCTCTCTGGGGACAGGATGTACAGGTTTAATCATACAGATGATCCTCAATAACAGCCCCTAACTCCCTACAGCTCTCTGGGGACAGGATGTACAGGTTTAATCACACAGATGATCCTCAATAACAGCCCCTAACTCCCTACAGCTCTCTGGGGACAGAATGTACAGGTTTAATCATACAGGTGACCATCAACAACCAGCCTAAAACTCCCTACAGCTCTCTGGGGACAGGATGTACAGATATAATCACACAGATGATCCTCAATAACAGCCCCTAACTCCCTACAGCTCTCTGGGGACAGAATGTACAGGTTTAATCATACAGGTGACCATCAACAACCAGCCTAAAACTCCCTACAGCTCTCTGGGGACAGGATGTACAGATTTAATCACACAGATGATCCTCAATAACAGCCCCTAACTCCCTACAGCTCTCTGGGGACAGAATGTACAGGTTTAATCATACAGGTGACCATCATGAACCAGCCTAAAACTCCTAACAGCTCTCTGGGGACAGGATGTACATACAGGTGAATCTCAAGCCAGGATAGTTTGTATCAGTGGAAATCTTGCACAAATATATTACTAGTTGATTTTTGTTTTTAGCTAATTGACTGAAATTGTTAGGGGTCTTAGGGGATTGTGACAATTTTTAATATTTTGCAGTTTTCAATATGCATCACATCTGATTAAGGTCACTTACATGCAGTTTCTGGAACAGTGTTCTGTTGCAGACTTCAGCTCGGGTCTTCAGGTCGTACCAGGCCTTCATCTGGTCAATGTATGCAGTTTGTCTGGAAACAATGTACATACATAGCTTATGCCCAGGACTAAGCTGAATGTATAGTAATCATTTCAAGACAGTCTATCGTGAAAGGTTTAGATAACTTCATATATATTATGTTGTGAGTGAGTTTGGTTCAACACTGCTTTCAACAGTATTCCAGTTATATCACAATGTGTCAGCTTAATGTCAGAGGAAAGCCTGAAGTGATGTAGGTCTCAGACGTCTGCATCAAGAACTGTCCACCATGATAGGGTACAACACCCATCAGCCAAGTCACAGGATGGAACCTTATCCTCAGTTAACTTGACTCTTGAATGACTGTCGTGAGACTGAGATCAATACCTGGGGTCAGTGATGCGGAGGATCTCCCGGGCCAGCCGACCGATGAAGTTGACGCTCTCATCAACGGGAGGGAAGCGTGGAATGGGTATGGCGGTGGACTGGTAGATGCTCTCCCAGTCCTGGACCTTGGTGCGGAGGAAGCTGTTACACTCCTGCTCCACGTTGTAGTTGATGATGCGAGACACCTCCTCCTGCCAGATCTTCAGGCCGTAGATGTTCACATAGTCCTGGATGTACTCGAAGGAGCGGCGGAAGCCATCCATCTTCTCCCCCAGCATTGTCAGGCGTGGCAGCAGCTCATTCACCTGAATAGAGATGACCCAGTTACAGAACTGCTTGCATATGGTAACAGGCCATTTCTGATCAACAGAATGAGCAACAAATTGTTTGTATGTGTGAGGATAAATTGAGTGTATTAATTTGATGACCATGTTGAAAGTTCAGATTATTTGAACTTACGAAGGTGCATCACATTGAGAGAAAACTCGTTTGAGCCTGAAATGTCTGCAGCTCTCTGTGTTAGGTAATGGTTCTATGCACCGAAACACTTTGAAAATGCATAATCAACTTTAATTCGAAATCAGAAAAGATATGAGCATTTCTGATTAAACGCAATGTTTTTATACTTACCTGACGCTAGAAATTCCATCTCCAAACAAAACGAATGAGATTCAAACCTATACAATTACATTGTTTTGTAGAATTTTCCTATTCGGAATATTCTATAAGTAATACGTTACCACTGTTATACCGAGGCTGTTGTCTCCCACAACTGCTGCTATAGCGAAATCTACCACAGAGATCTCAATTACCTCATGCAGCACGTGCGTAGCCACCTAGCTGCCATGTGACACCCTTCACTCTTGTCTCCTGCGAGAGCAAGTGCTCGGGGGACGGACGGGCGGGCAGCAGCCCAGTGGTAACGTATTACTTATAGAATATTCCGAATAGGAAAATTCTACAAATTACATTAAGTAATACGTTACCACTGTTATACCGAGGCTGACTACCACAGTAGGCGGTGGGGAGCACCTACAACCCGAATCCTGACTGCTAGCGTTCCTTCCGACCAGCGGAAGTAAACACCAAGGCGGAAGCACTCGATGCGCATGCACCTAGCTAGGCGTTACCCTATAGGAATACCAAAGCACTGTCAAGCGCATACCGTAAGGCTCAATCGTCAATGCCAAAACGATTGGTGACTCCAAACGGCCCCACTGGATAGGTATTTCATCGCCGCAGCGGATGAGAACACTGTATCCGCGTGAGCTAAATCTTAGATCAGGTTAAACAGTCGAAAAGAGGGAAATTAATTTCCTTCAGACCGTATATCCCAGAGCAAGCCTACTTAAAGTATGCATTAGGCGCGTGACCTAATTCCAGTATTCGTAAGCATGTATCGCAAGGTTGGAATACACGACAGACAATTAAATGCATAATTGTCAAAATACAAATAAGGACAAAACACACAAAAAGCCGCCTCACCTGTGGTGTGAGTGCGCTGGTTTGCAGGACCCCCACTCCTGTACCCACGGCGTGGGAACATTGGAGACGACCCAGATTGACCACCGTGCAAGGACTGACGACTGCGGAGTTTGGAATTGCGCTGGACACACCCCCTAGATGACCGGTTGTGCCGCGATCAGCGGCCCAAGACGGTGCACCCCCTCCACGTCTTCATCAGAAACCTTTCTGAGGTAATGATTGGCAAAAACCGAGTCAGAACGCCAGTAACAACCTCGTAATATTCTGTGAACAGAGATATTCGAGTGTAGGGCAAATGTTGCCGCTAGCGCCCTGATCTCGTGCGGGTTTGACCCCGCTACCGGTAACCCCCGAGACCGGTACGCCAGATTGATGACAGAACGAAGCCACAACGCAATCGAGTTGCGAGTTATGTCAACCGTGCGATTAGGGTTACACGATATGAACAGACAGTCACGCCCTTGTCTACGTTCATTCGAAGCCTTAAGATAATACTTAAGGGCCCTAACCGGACACAGCGCTCTGTCCTCAGTATCAGCAGGATGTAAGATTTCTTTGAGGGATCTTACAGTGAATTCTCTCTCCGTTTGCCCGACTCTCTGATTCTTGGCGACAAAGCCCATGAGCAGGCCCAGGCGGACCGCTCCTTCGTCACCCCTATCGAATCGTACCTTGGCGACATCGAGTGCATGAATTTCGGATACACGTGCCGCCGTGGCAAAGGAGAGGAGAAATGCTGTTTTCCAAGTCACATGCCGGAACGAAGCACTATGCAAGGGTTCATACGGAGCTGATTGCAACACTAGGGAAAGATCCCAGGCCGGTGCCCGAAGGCGGCCCTTCTTAAGATCGTGCTGTTTGAAACCCTTGATAATACCCCGTATCACCGGCTCTTTGGAGAGACTGGTACCCATAGCAACGTCCCGTACCGTAGCAACGGACGAGACATAGTTGGCAATGGAACCCCCGGAGAGTTTCCGGGTCTCTCGCAAGTGAGACATGAAACGAGCAATATCCTGCACAGATACCTTATCTGGCGAATGAATGTGATGTTTACAACACCACTTCGTGAAAATAACCCAACGTGCATTATACACCTTCTGGGTAGAATCACGATGCATACTAACGTATGCCCGAGACGCCCGGCGAGAAAAACCTTTACTCCTCAGACGCTCGGTGACAACATCCACGCGTGCAGATTGAACTGCCCTGCGTTTGGATGAAGCTGACGGGTGTGAGGGTGGATCAAGAGATCCGGTCTCACAGGCAGTGGGAGTGGCGACTGCGTGACCTGGGTCAGCAAGTCGGGGTACCACGATCTGTTCGGCCACATGGGCGCGATCAGTAACATTCGACAGCGAACTCCTCGAAGCCGGCTTAGAATGTGTGGTATCAACGCTGTCGGCGGGTAAGCATAAGCGTCCAAGCCCGTCCAGTCTAACGCGAGAGCATCGTGATCGATGGCCCTCGGGTCCGGGACTGGTGATACAAACAACGGGAGTTGATTGTTGAACCCTGTTGCGAACAGGTCGACCATCGGACGACCCAAACGTTCGCACAGCCACTGAAACACCACTGGGTTCAGCATCCACTCTGTGGGGCTCGGATCCTGAGGCCTCGATAGAGCATCGGCCAGTACGTTCCGCACACCTGGGATGTGACGGGTGCGTATCTGGCACGGGACACTGTCCACCAGAGCGTAAAACTCGAACGTGAGATCGAGTAGCGAGTGACTGTGGGTTCCCCCCAGTTTGTTCACATAGGACACTACCGTCGTGTTGTCGGTCGCCAGCATGAGCCGGGCGTCGACGAGACGATGCTTCCAGTGATTGACTGCGTTGATCACTGCCTTGAACTCGAGACAATTGATGTGAAGACCTAGTTCGTCTACGCACCACAGCCCCGAGCTCACCTCCCCCTCTAGATGGGCGCCCCAGCCCACTAGAGAGGCGTCTGTATACAGGTTCAACGTGGCCCGGTAGGGCCGCATAGAGACTCCTGATAAGACATTGTAAGGGAGCGTCCACCACTCCAGATGCGGTCGGAGCCGATCCGGGAGGGCGACGGTCGCACTGTTCACCTCCGTTGCTAACAACTGGATTAAAAACCGTTGCAGCGGGCGGAGTTGGAGACGACCCCGTGCGGTGCAGTCCTGGGCTGATACAAGTAGCCCTAACAGCTGTTCCCAAAAGTGAACAGTCTGTTGCACCGCTAAGACTTTGGCAATCATCGCCTGAATTTTGTGCCACCGGTCTGGGGGGACAAATAGGCGATGGGACACCGTGTTGAACCGACCTCCGATGAACTGCAAGTTCTGAGAAGGGGTTAACTCGCTCTTGGGGAGATTGACAATCCACCCCAATTGCTCCAAGAGCCGACGTGCGAAAACGAGATGGCGTGACAGGGTGTCCGACATTCGATTTGCTACTAGCGAGTCGTCCAGGTACGCGAAGTACCGGACACCCCTCCGGTGGAGGAACCCCACTATGGGGGTGGTTAACCGGGTGAACAGCCAGGGAGCGGATGAAAGACCGAATGGGAGTACAACCCACTCGTAGTGCCTGCCTTGAAAGACAAACCTGAGATACTTCTGATGATCCGAGTGAATCGGAACATGCAGATAAGCATCCTTCAGGTCGATCGAAGCTAGCCAGTCGGCCGGCATGATCAGTGCTTTCAGGTCCGTCAAGCTCAACATTCTGAACTTGGGCGGTTTGCGCAGGTAGAACTCGTTGAACGATTTCAAGTTGTGAATCAATCTGAGTTCGGCACTGTCCTTCTTGGGAACGAGAAATATCCTGGAGTAAAACCCCGGTGTTATTTCTGGTAGAGCTAACTCCCGAACTGCCCTCTTCTCCACCAACCTGCCGATGGCATCGGCGAGGAAGGGAAGATCGGTTTCCGAATAGAAACCTGCCGACGGGGCAACGGTGAGCGGCGGATTCGCTATGAGATCGAGCCGATAGCCGTACCGAATCGTGTTGACCACCCACGGGTCGTCGAACACTTGTTCCCAATTCTCCCAGTAAGTCTGGAGTCTGGCTCCCACTGGGGAAAGAGAGGGGGGCCAGACGGGCTGCGGCAGGCGCAACTGTCCAGGGCCAAGTGACTCGGGGTCGCCTACGGGCCAACCGAAGTTGGCGCTGTCGGCATACGAACCCCTCCAATGAGAGTCACCTGGAGGGGCCCTTGCCGTCCTTAGACGACTTGGGCTTCCCCCAGTTCCCCTTCTTCCCGCGAAAGGGCTGCTGAGAACCCTTACCGGAGCCCTCAGAGCGGGGCTTCTTCCCGGAGGAAAGGCCTGCCGGACGCAGCATCCTGGGGCGCGCTCCGCTTCGGAGCGGCACCCAGGCGCCTATGCAAGGACCCCACAAGATCCAGTGTGTGCCGAGAGGCCTCGGCAGACACAGCGGCCTGTTGTTCCTTCAGAACCCCAGGGATCTTGTTATTAAACAGGGTCCGAGCAGACCAAGGCTGCGAAAGGAGCACCTCCTGATTAGCAGCGTCCAACCCTGAAGCAACCAGATACGACTGGCGCCGAAGAAAATGGCATGTGCCGGAAACAAAGGCCGAAGCCCCGGCAACGTACTCCAGGGAAGCATTCAAACCGAGCAAGCAGTTGTAAATGCGCTGGTCTCGGTCCGTGGGAGAACCTTCGACCAGACTGGCCGCTGCAGCCAGGTATGTGTCTCCGTGAGACATTGCCAGCATGGAGTGTCGAGCGAGGGTGTCCAGCTGTTGCAAGGTACCTTGTGGTACCGTGGCAACCGGTGGGGCACGGACCCCCAAACGCTCCACATGGGCTTCCGCAGAAGGACCAGCCTCGGGAAAGGCAAGGTCATGTACTGGGAAAGACCCTTTTCTCCACGACGGGGGAGGTAACGGGAGACCCCGACCGGAGGCAGCCGTGAAGGCCTTCTCCAAAGAAGGCTTAATCCCGCGCAGCAAGGTTGATGCCGGGAAAGCCTTCTCGGACGTCTCGTCGTATACCTCGGAGGAACCCACGGAACCGTGGATTCCCGCGGTATCAGCAGGGGCTTTGGCATGTCCTCGAAGAGGTCATACACCATGGCAACGCGGTCTTTAACAGATAGCGGAAGCAACGGTTCGGGGGAAGGACCGGTAACCACAGCAGCCGCCGCCGTACCGGTGGACCCCGCGTCCGAACCCGCGGCCACCGAAGAGGCCGGGGACGGAACAGCCAGCGGCCTATCTTGCGATAAGGCCGCCAGCTTGGAGTCCACAAGTTTCGACAATAATGCGGCGACGGAAGCCCCAGACAGCCCGAGGGCCGCAAGGGGATCCGCCGCAGCCGAGGAGGTGGTACCCGCACGGGGACCCCGACCGGACGAACCGGCCACCACAGGGGTGGAATCGGACTGTACGTACAGCCGGTACCGCTCAAACTCCGCAGGCCCCAGACCTTCGCACAGGGTACACCGGGTGTCCCCGCAAGGAACCCTGCACCGCGGGCAACGATCGTGGGGATCCCGGGATGACAAAAACTTTCTGCACACCCCACAACTCCGAGGAGCAGGGGTAGAGGGGGTGGATACTGGGGACATATCCATGTCAGACATTGTTTGCTATAAACAAAGAACAAAACATGGTTACAACGCACGCACCACAACGATTCACAAACGAGCATTTTCACAAGAAAATAAACGAGCAATGTGAACATATAACATACACATATAACTTTTATTAAAGAAATAAGTTATGTTAACCCCCAAAACATACAAGAACAGGGGAAACGTAAAACACAACGTGCATACGCGAACCCCGCAAGTATAGAGAAAAAAGGGCGGGAAAATTATAACCAAGCGTAGCTACCGCAACGCCCCATAAAAGCACAGTTTATTAGAGAATAAACTATAATAAATATCACAAAATCTTCAAGGAACGCTTCAGCAGGAGAAAACACGTCTTGCTAAGCAGACGAAGGAGACAAGAGTGAAGGGTGTCACATGGCAGCTAGGTGGCTACGCACGTGCTGCATGAGGTAATTGAGATCTCTGTGGTAGATTTCGCTATAGCAGCAGTTGTGGGAGACAACAGCCTCGGTATAACAGTGGTAACGTATTACTTAATGTAATGTGTATAATTATCTCATGCCTAAATACCCAGAACAACCTAATTTGAATATTTGTGACAATTTTGCCAAATGTAACCAAAAAAAAGGAATATACGATTTCAAAATGTTTCAGTATATCTTTAAGAAATCACTACCAATATATTGTATGTACACGTTAGTACACTGGATAAATTTCAATGAAATGTATTTTGTAATATTTGAACATTTGTACTGATGTTAGATTTGAACATTTAAACCTGAAGTTTAGGCCAATGTCAACTGACCAGTTATGATTAGGAAGTCAGTAGATCGTTCGATCTCACTCAAGCGACATCTCCTTTTGGAACAAGTGTTTGATAAAAGATCTATCTGAATGATGTTGGAACAATGAGAGTCAAAAACTGCCAAGACACATGGGATCAGGCCTCCGTTCCACAAAGCGATCGTAGCATAAGTTGTAAATCCATGTTTAAAGTATGGGAGTTATGATACTCATAGTGCTACAATAGCTTTGTGGAACAGACCTTAACGCAGAGCGGTATCTGATCAGAGAACAGACGTGAGTGAGACTGTCACTTGCCTTGGCTTTGGGGTTGAACATGAGTCCCTGATGCAGAGCCTGGGCCACCTGCTGCACCAGCTCCTTGCGGATCCCGTCCTCCAGCAGCTGCTTGGGGTCGATCTGTCACAAACACAGAATCTATGTAGGGCTGGGACGAGTCCAAATTTACTACCCGGGTACCCACTCCTTATTACCCGACCCTACCCGGGTACCCGCTGTAGGTCATAAGAGATAGGTACAAAATGTCCGATTGGGAATAGTTTGGGCAGTACTCCTGTCAAAATAAATTTAGATACACGCATAAACCGATCTGGTCATGCATACAGTGAAGTTGACTGATGTTTTATCATTATGCGAACATATAAAGTCAGAAGGAATGTATGCAAAGTGACTCAGAAAGAAATGTGAACATTTATCACTTATAGTGTAACCAGAGTTCTAGATCATTTTTGCCATCAAACAATATAATCACGTGACTAACCACGGGTCCGGGTAGTCCTGTGGGTACCCGGGTCCTACTCAGTACCCACCCGACCCGGGTACCCGAGTTACCCTTCCCAGCCCTAAATCTATGTGGTCAAATCCGCAACTATATTTGTCACATAGGATATTCACAATTCGCAGGGAGCCTGAGTGTCCATCTAATCACATACAATAACACTTTATCTTACCTTACATTAAATACTAGCTTCTGATTGGTTAAGAAGCAGGCAATTTTTTTCCATGTTGCCTGCTCACAGAAGGGGTACAAATTTCATGTAGATCACTGAGATATCAATCGGAACTCATCTTAGGTAACTTGCTTATGTCTAAAGAGTATCAATGAGTTTCATAATGAACTGATGTTTATCCGAATGCATTGGGTAAAAGGAAGTAACTCAGTTCATTTGCATTGCCTGTTGGAAGTTTTGCTAACAAGTGAAATTGCGGATATGACTATCTCATAGAGAATACGATATCAAGGAACATATAAAAGATAGAACAAGGCTTGATCAACTAACAACACAGTTCCCAAATACCTTTCATATCCTCACTTCACATGGTTTTCTAAGCACAAAGTGTTCATGGGACTTCGACAAGGTATAGATATGCAAGTATTAGTACCTTGATGATTCCAACAAGGGTGGTCTTCATCATAAGAATCCCCTCTGTGAACACCGAGATGGCATGGGTCAGCTTCGCCACCTGTCAGAGAAGTCACAAAGCCAACATTGAGGCAAGGGAATAAAACCAAGTCATTAAAGTTGGAAAATTCTTTGAATTGCCAGGTCACTTTCATCACTGACTGCTTTGTCCTGACAGCTTAGCCTTCTCCTTGAAGTGGATCTCATTTATAACATCCATGTTTACAATATGAGTCTGGAGTAAATCCCCGACATATTGTTGACTCAGAATTGCAGGCACATTTACATGTTGCAATTGTCTACCGATTAGTCAGAAACACTCATATTGTTATATAAAAAACTGCCATTTCTCTTTAGCAGTGTAAATAGTTCATCTAACAATGGGATTAAGTTTTACATCAAATACAAGCTAACCTGGAAATATTACATGAAAATGTCAGCCATGTATTTGTGTTTCACCTGGAAGCGTTCGTCCAGTTGAGCGTACTCCTTCATCTTGTCTTTCTCCAGGCGGGTCGGCAGCTCATGGATCTGATTGGTCAGCAGGCGGATGATACTTGCCAGAAGACTGAACATAGTCTGTGGAATGATCTGGAAACATTGAAACAGCAGATGGGTTAGTCACTAGTCAAAGATTTACCACATCACATCACACCACATCACCATGATGTGATCACATCACCATGATCACATCACATCACATCGAATCACACCACATCGAATCAAATCGTCAATATCACACTACACCCCATAACATCACATCACATCAGAACTCAATGATCACATAACATCAAATCCCATCCCATCCCATCCCATCACACCACACCACATCAAATCCCATTCCATCCCATCCCGTCACATCACCATGATCACATCACACCACACCACACATCACATCACATAACTTTGATCACATCACATCACCATGATCACATCACACAACACCACACCACACCACACCACCATGATCACATCACATCACACCACATCAGAGCACCATGATCACATCACATCACACCACACCTGATCACACCACCAATATCACATCACACAACACCTCACCACAACACTATGATCATATCATATCACATCACCATGATCATATCACATCATCACACCACATCACACCAGATCACCCTGACCACACAGTGATGTCTGCCAGCACTGACCTGCAGGACCTTCCTGACGTAGCCCACCAGCTCCCCGGAGTAGAACTGTGACACACTCATCAGGTCAGGACTCATGGCCAGGTTGATTCTCAGCAGGGGCAGTTCTAGAGCTGATGACATCTGCAACAGGTGGTCAGTGAGTGAGTGAGTATGGTTTTTGGCCGCTTTTATCAATATCCCAGCAATATCACGGCGGGGAACACCAGAAATGGGCTTCACACATTGTACCCATGTCAGGAATCGAACCCGGGTCTTCAGCGTGACGAGCGAACGCTTTAACCACTAGGCTACCCGACCGCCCAGGTGGTCAGTGATAACAGCAGGCGACAAAGGTTTGTTTGTTTTTTTGTTTGTTGTTAAACGCCGCTCTCAGCAATATTCCAGCTATATGATGGTGGTCTGTAAATAATCGAGTCTGGACCAGACAATCCAGTAATTGACATCATGAGCATCGATCCACGCAATTGGGGTCGATGACATGCATCAACCAAGTCAGCGAGTCTGACCACCCGATCCCGTTAGTCGCCTCTTACGACAAGCATAGTCGCCTCTTACGACAAGCATGGGTTGCTGAAGACCTATTCTACTCCGAATCTCCCCGGCAACAAAGGAAATCATGTGAGTGTATGCAGAGAACAAACAAGAATCCACAAACAGCAAACTACAGCTATAACGACCTCAAAAGGACAGCTAATCTTAGTTCATAATAACCGTAGTTCATTATAAGGATATATTCAGCATATATACAGCAAATGACCATATACGTCAGTTTGTTATAAGCGTGTTCATTATAAACGTAGTTTACTGTAGTGAAAACACTGCTGGTCTCCCAAAACCAAGTAGTTTAAAGCAACCAGACCATTAGGAAAGTTATGGCTCCTTCTTTTGGGACAACACTGGCATAATACACATCTGTTATTTATTTATCATGGAGAACAACAATGAACAGTAAATAGCATGCCAACTTATTCAACAGATTGTGTGAGTCTATGATAGAAACCTGTCGCGGCTCGATTTCACACCAGTCATGTTGCAATGGCTGCTGTATGGGAATGCGGATATCAGCTTCTACCCAATTCACCTGGGTGCCATTTTACAGGTTTTTATCATAGACTCACACAATTAGGGCTAAGGTGATCACAACCCTGATACTTTAACACATGCAGACTTATGATAATCTTATAGCCAAGTTTGTCTTATAAAACGGCACCCAGATCTGGCCCCAAGTGATCACCATCTCTCTTCAAAGAACACTTGAGATTTAACAAGAGTTTGCCACTAACGTGGCTATATCCCCCGCCCCTGTTGCAGAATTTACGACATAATTAAATCTAAACAAACCCTAACCTTTTTTAACCGAGGTGGAACTTGTCATGGAAATGGTAAAAAAAGAAAGAGTTTGGAACCTAAGTCCATCTTGCAGCCAAGGAAACGTAAAAAAATAAAATTTCTAAAATTTCTAAATAGCAAAAGGCACCAGTTCAGCATGTACTTGACAGACCTGCAAAGTTTGATGAAAAAATATTGAACGGTTTCTGAGTTATGCTCCGGAAACGAAACGTGACGGACGGAGCCCGTTTCTATATCCCCCGCCAACTTTGTTGGGCGGGGGATAATAAGGACCAAGAATTTGTTACAAGTATGACAGGCTGATTGACAGACCAGGATTTGACCTTCAACAAAACAGGGATGAGAGACTTTGACAAGAGATGGACCATGTGTACTGAACTGCAAAACTGTTGAAAAATAATTAAAGCCCACAACAATATCATATATTCTAGGCTAAAAACATTCTGAAACCCCCTTGTATGTGAAATAAATTGAAAATGTTTTCTCTGTCGATATCCTTTGTTTCTAGCTGGAGCTGGGTGGGTTACCTTGAGGAATGTGGCTCTGAGTTTGATGACGAGGGACGGGTCCTTCTTGATGCCCTGCTGCATGTAGCCGGTGTAGCTGCAACAAGGAGGGGTGTCGACTACACTCGTCTATACAGTCACTTATACTGTGAAGGCCGTTACCTCATTCAGGATTTGTTATAAAAGTAACTTGTCATTGAATACTGAAAAAATAAATTCTTAGATTATGCTTTGTTTTATATTCTGATTGGTCCACCAGGGGTATCAAATATACTTTAGACCATAATCTATTATGTCTGATTTTGATTGAAATTTACAGGTATCAAATTTACGTTGAAACCTCTAAATTGAAACACCCTAGGTTTATCTCCTTAAAATCATGGAGTCCAGAGTCCGAGGGGAAAAAAAATACCTGTAGATAAGACTGTCGTTCAAGATTGCAAATTTGATGTCATACTGGGTTAATAAAGACAACAACTTGACACTCAGAAGCTCAATCTAGAAATGATTTGACATGCATCAATTAAAGAGTAGTGATAATCAGTAAATTTCTAGCTCCTGGAGTCTAAGAAACATTGCAAGCCAAAACTCATACACCAAAGCAGACCCTGTTGTGATATCAGGGATAGTTTCTCAAAGCAATATCGTAGTGCAACTTGGTCATAACAAACGAATAAACATGTCCTTTCAAGGTAAAGCCCCCTAAACTTGAGAGCAATGAGGAATGCTTTGATACCTGTCGATGATGTTCCATGCGTAGGAGAGGTCTGCGACAATGCCGATGTTGATGAGGACTTCCTCCTTGATGTTGATGGTGCGGATCATGTGATGGAGGTACTTGCGGGTGTCGGCAAGGAACTGCCTCACCTGAAGGTTGCTCTCCAGCTGGTGGAATTCTTGAACCTGAATCATGGATCACATCATGTCAGTCTGTGTCAAAAACGTTTAGTCTACTATCCAGGGCTTTCTTATTGGTGGTAGATCTTAGTCTTATTGTATGGACTCTAAGTTCATCTTACTAGGCCTGAATAACTATAACTAGAGTCAGGTTTTGGACTTTGGATGCCACAAGATGCCATCTTGATTTAATGCAGAACCAAGTTAGTATTGAGTGAATGTTGTTTTATCCTACAGTCTGCAATTTTACAGCCATATTCCGGCTGCCTGTTATCTGAGTAATAAAGATGGCAGGACTACAGTGCCACAACCTACCTTCCCCCGGGAACAATTGCTCCTCTAAGTGAATGGTATTGAGTGAATGTTGTTTACATTCAGCAATATTCCAGCCACATTACCATGACGACACAAAATCAACAGGTCACACATTGTAAACCCTCGATAATCATTTGCCTTGCAATAGCATTGGGAACTGAGGGTCTATTCTAACATGTATTCCACAACAGATTGTGATGCAATTCAGGCAACTCCAGAATGTATACCTCCTTTCACCTTACTCCCAAACTAACCATGATGTAAACTGAAGGAACAATACCTCTTCCATGGCCTGTATGAGCTGAACGATCTTCCGTCCTGCAGAAGTAGAGTCTTCATAGTTCAGGGACAAGATCTGTTTGGACATTTCGGTAAACCAGGCCTGGAGGTTGTCTGGAAAAACAAGGTCATCAATCTCATCCTAGGCAGTGAAAGCAGAAATTATATTACCCATAATGGTAGAGTGTAAGGCTAGGATGAGTCCAGATTTACTCCCCAGGTACTGCCACCCGATTACCTGACCCTACCCTGGTACCCGCTTAAGGTCTCAAAGAGTTGGGTACAAAATGTCAGAATGGAAATCGCTTTACCATAGCCCTGGCAAAAACTAATTAGATACACGCACAACACATTCTCATCATGCATACACTGATGTTGACTGGAGCTTTATCATTAGTTTACTCAATCACATAAAAGTCAGAAGGAATGTGTGCATAGTCAGAAAGAAATGTGAACTTTAGCAACTTGTAGTGTAACCATTGAGTTTTTTGTTATTGTCATTAAACAATATATCCTATGACTACCCACGGGTCCGGGTAGTTCTGTGGTTACCTGGCTCCTGATCATGACCTACCCGACCTGAGTACCCGAGTTACCAGTCCCAGGCCTAGTAGAATGATTGTGAGTAATAACTCTCCGATATTTGCAAATGCGCATTTTAAAAAATCGTGGTGATTAGTTAACTGAAGCCATATGATGTCACAGTGCTTCATACAATATGACGCCATCCATTGTTCGTGAAGTCACAAACTGATTACATCTGAACAATGGGGTGCCTTCAGTGACAGGAGTACACGATCATGCAACAAGGACTAAGTATCTCACCATTCCTCTCCACCCTGGTGAGGGGCTTGGTGCCGGAGAAGACCTCGCTCAGTTCCTGCATGCGTTCGTGGCCCTCCTTCTTGTAACTCTCCCACTTGGTCTGCTTGTCCAGCAGCATCTGCTTGAACATCTGCAACACCACACACCTGAGTCAAACACTGCTTCGATCATTCCTTCCTGCCTGAGTATATTTGGTGTAATGCAGCTTTAAACAGTATTTAAGTCACATCACGTATCACATAACATGTTCAGCTTACTCGGGATGAAAGCCTAAAGTCATTCAGGTTTACCACAAGCGAAAGTGTGGTGCTGACAAAACGGATGATAATATTCAGTGTGAATCTTGGGTTTGAACCCACTATTATAGATTCTTGTACAACTAAGGGACACAACTCTGATGAATGAACTGCAGGGATTTGGTTATGGTGACCTGTATCTAGAAGTCCAGGCAACACATGCTTGGATCACCAGTCATCATTTACTCATCATGAAATCATACAAGACAGCAGGCTGTTCCATGGGGGCGGCCTGTAAATAATCATGTATGTACCTGACAAACTTGATATCATGTGCGACAATCAACACTGTCAGGATACACCATCAACCAAGTCACCAAGCGTGACTCCTGGTCCACTAAGCTGCCTCGTATGACAAGCTCAGGATGCTGGGGACAACTTCTGACTGGAAATGTGGACCATGGCACATACCGTATTCGACGTAATAAACGCCCAGGGCGCTCTCAAACTTAGAAATAGGGGGCTCTTATTAGAATATTATTTTGGTGGAAAAAACAGAGTTGAAAGATACTTTGTGGTTTATGCTGACAGTCTGAACTGTTTATATACGACAGATATATTTTCCCAGAATTTAATTGCCCATAATTAAGGGTGCATATAACACATGAGTGTGTATTATACACGAATAATTAAGTCTTGTGTACATTGATAAATCGGAAGGGGGGCTAATTGGGATTGTTCACTAGCCAATATATTAGCAAATATCGCTGTGGGCGCTTATTAGAGCGGGGCGCTTATTACGTTGAATACGGTAATCTGTGTCGGAGATATTACCTCTTTCAGCTTGAACTCGAACTGTCCTGTACTGAGCAGAAGCTGAAACACACCGAGCGGGTTGTACCGGGAATCTCCAAGCACTTGGTCCCGGATCTGCTTGCACCGCTTGTTGCCCTCGGCAGCTGCAGCATGAACAACTCCACTCAGGCTCACACCTAACCACCAGCTATATCAGTGTTCTCTCATTATAGTCATCATTATGTCATCAGTGATTATGGTGTTATGTGCGCTTTTAGCAATATTTCTTTGGGGGAACCAGAAATGGGATTCACACATTGTACCCGTGAAGTTGTACATCGAACTTGGGTCTATAGCGTGACGACAACGAGGCTAACCCACCACCTCCTACGCAACTAGGATGTGATGACATGCATCAACCAAGTCAGTGAGCCTCTTATGACAAGCATTCTGTTTGTTGCTAAATGCTGCAATATTTCAGCTATATGACGGTAACCTGTAAATAATCAAATCTGGACCAGACAATCCTCTGATTAAAATCATGAGCAATGAGCTTTGCCATCAGGATACAAGGACCACATCACCAGGACTAACCACCCCAGCCATTTGGCTGCCTCTTAGGACCAGCATTGATTGACTGGGGACCTATTCTAACACGGAATCCCCATGGAGTTAACATGCTTCATGAAAGGTGCAAAAAAGGAACTGAAATCAGCATCAATTTGTTCTTTTCTTCATCACAAATATCCAGGCAACTGTTCATGGACTTACTTGGTGGCAGTGCAGCTGTATGAAGCATCAGCCAGCGGAGCGTGACATTACACTCACGGATGGCGTTCATCAGTTTGGGGATGTTGTCCAGCACAAACTCCTCCACCAGCACCCCCTCCTTCAGGTACTTCTCCAGCACCGGGTGCAGCCTCTCCAGCTTCTGGGAGTACCGGGCTGCCTGTAACCATGGTAACGTTAAGGATGCTCACTTGAATTACTAACAAGAAGTCTATTTTGGTAAGATGCTATCTGTAGTCTAAAAATCATTCTCTTTAGTTTGTAAACAGTCATAATCAGTGTCTTGAGTGTACAGCCATAAGTTCAGCTCACCAGCTTCAGTGGCAGAGAGATTAGTGATGTCATGGTAACCGATGACAACACAAAGGTCTGCAATGTTCTTGGAGATATTGCCTGATCTCACACAAGTGGTATCTCCTGTGGCAGCCAGTTTTGGAAGATAGAAAATGGGTACAATCTTCATACGATGTCTATATTTACAATAAACTGACACAATTTTAAAAAAAGCAGTATTCCCAGCACTTAATGCCTATTTGGTTCATTGGTTCATTATCTTTGTCTGTTTAACTGGCCTACCTGTTCCCTGATGTTCGCAGTATCCAGAGTGTTGTTGAGAGCTGTGCTGGCTGCCTTGTAAGGAGCCCACGCATCCATCAGGTTGATGATCATACCCATGTATACACTTATCACCTGTAACACAGACACACAGTGGTGTTGAGAGCTGTGCTAACTGCCTTGTAAGGAGCCCATGCATCCATCAGGTTGATGATCATACCCATGTATACACTTATCACCTGTAACACAGACACACAGTGGTGTTGAGAGCTGTGCTAGCTGCCTTGTAAGGAGCCCACGCATCCATCAGGTTGATGATCATACCCATGTATACACTTATCACCTGTAACACAGACACACAGTGGTGTTGAGAGCTGTGCTAGCTGCCTTGTAAGGAGCCCACGCATCCATCAGGTTGATGATCATACCCATGTATACACTTATCACCTGTAACACAGACACACAGTGGTGTTGAGAGCTGTGCTAACTGCCTTGTAAGGAGCCCACGCATCCATCAGGTTGATGATCATACCCATGTATACACTTATCACCTGTAACACAGACACACAGTGGTGTTGAGAGCTGTGCTAACTGCCTTGTAAGGAGCCCACGCATCCATCAGGTTGATGATCATACCCATGTATACACTTATCACCTGTAACACAGACACACAGTGGTGTTGAGAGCTGTGCTAGCTGCCTTGTAAGGAGCCCACGCATCATCAGGTTGATGATCATACCCATGTATACACTTATCACCTGTAACACAGACACACAGTGGGGTTGAGAGCTGTGCTAGCTGCCTTGTAAGGAGCCCACGCATCATCAGGTTGATGATCATACCCATGTATACACTTATCACCTGTAACACAGACACACAGTGGTGTTGAGAGCTGTGCTAGCTGCCTTGTAAGGAGCCCACGCATCATCAGGTTGATGATCATACCCATGTATGTATCTTATCACCTGTAACACAGACACACAGTGGTGTTGAGAGCTGTGCTGGCTGCCTTGTAAGGAGCCCACGCATCCATCAGGTTGATGATCATACCCATGTATACACTTATCACCTGTAACACAGACACACAGTGGTGTTGAGAGCTGTGCTGGCTGCCTTGTAAGGAGCCCATGCATCCATCAGGTTGATGATCATACCCATGTATACACTTATCACCTGTAACACAGACACACAGTGGTGTTGAGAGCTGTGCTACCTGCCTTGTAAGGAGCCCACGCATCATCAGGTTGATGATCATACCCATGTATACACTTATCACCTGTAACACAGACACACAGTTGTGTTGAGAGCTGTGCTAGCTGCCTTGTAAGGAGCCCACGCATCCATCAGGTTGATGATCATACCCATGTATACACTTATCACCTGTAACACAGACACACAGTGGTGTTGAGAGCTGTGCTAGCTGCCTTGTAAGGAGCCCACGCATCCATCAGGTTGATGATCATACCCATGTATACACTTATCACCTGTAACACAGACACACAGTGGTGTTGAGAGCTGTGCTAGCTGCCTTGTAAGGAGCCCACGCATCATCAGGTTGATGATCATACCCATGTATACACTTATCACCTGTAACACAGACACACAGTGGTGTTGAGAGCTGTGCTAGCTGCCTTGTAAGGAGCCCACGCATCATCAGGTTGATGATCATACCCATGTATACACTTATCACCTGTAACACAGACACACAGTGGTGTTGAGAGCTGTGCTGGCTGCCTTGTAAGAAGCCCACGCATCCATCAGGTTGATGGCCATACCTATAACTCACAACCTGCAACTTATTATAGGAGGAAGCCCAAGTGATCAAGGTAACAGCTGTGTTTCACTTTGATGGAACTCTGGTGCCGATCATAATCAGAGCAAGAATGTATTCCAACGAAAGTAACATCATCAATATTTCACAGGTCTGTACACACTCTATTTCTCAATCACATATGAATACATATAGCTGCTTAGCAGTGTAGTCGCTATTTTAACCAACAAATCAAGCCATGGCCTGGTCCTTGATTGAGAGAAACCACTAAGTGTTTAGACAAATGAGTTCAGCCAATTTTTCTCACCTTCCTAAATTAAAAGGGGGACTGGGGGAATGCCCCCCAAGTTTTTGTAATAAAATACTTCATAAATAAAAGTCATTTTCAGTTATAAAGTGAATGAAAAATACATGTCTGCACTCCACTGTGGAACTTCTATTTTCAGATAATTTTTCAATGTTGACATCCTATTTTCGATGTTTATTAATTGTATTTATTCAATTTTGTGGTTTGATTATATTAAATCATGCAAACGCAAGCAGGGTAATTTTTTTCTGCTTATTTTGAGCTGTATCCCCCTATTTTTTAAATAGTCACACTGTTGCATGCCCCTGTATTAGAAGCATTAAACTTATATGGTATTTCGTATAACACAAATGTACCCACTGACTAAACATATTCACTGTCACTAGTTCACCACAGTTAACACTTGTACTGACTGGTGATGAGGAGCATCGGGTGTATACTAACCCGTGAGGTACTGACGATGTCACAGTACCTACCCAGTTATCAGGGAAGTGTTTGTCAACAATCTCCCTCATCTTGGCCTGCTGGTTGTGGAGGGTGTCTGCCTCGAAGTACAGGATCACATACAGCATGCTGGCTTGGGTGGCCAGGGCTGTCGACCGGTGCTCCGGCAGGGGATACGCCGATATCTGGTTGTACACGTCGTCCGACCTCAGGCGGCCAATCACCATGTTGACGAAGTTGGAGCTGATGAGGACGCGACTGCAGATGGAACATGTACCAGTAGAATTGATCTTAACGTTGCCACACTCAACTATATTTCAGCTATAGCAGCAGGCTGTAAATAATCAAGTCTGGAGTAGACCAACCAGTGATTGATAATATGAGCAACAACTATAACTGATGGGACACAATGATATGCCAACAACCAACTCACCGATTCTGACCACCCGATCCATTAAGTCAACCAGAATAGGTTGTCGGGGAGGTAATTTTAACTTGAATTCCCAGGGGACTCAACACTGATGTACTACCGGTAATGAAACAACCAAAGGACGTAAAAAGATGGTTCTTGTTGTTATACTGTCTGGCGCTTGGCATAAATAGGATAAAACAAGGACTGGTCGGCTGGGAGTCAGCATACTGTGTCTGAGTGGGTTACCCATGTTAACCTGCAGCATGGTATCTCAGTACTATACAACTGGAGTTAGTCTGGACTAGTACAAGCATCAATAAATGTTAATACAAACCTAGCCCTGATAATCTTTTCCAAAGGTCATATCTTATGCATAAAAATTTATCAGCAAGATGTAGTTCCAACAAAAACAAAACAAGGGATTGCAAAATAAATTCAATTTCTCATTATGACATGTCTAATTCAACAAAACTTCCATATATTATTTTCTGTTATCAACACAATGTAGAGTAAAAGTTAAATTCAAGGTTTCCCAGGCTAACTATGCAGGAGTAGTCACCCTTGGTCAAAACCAACTAGTCCGCAGTCCATTTCAGATCAATGATTTATGTAAAATAACTAGATATTGGGAGAAAACACCTAGTCCCTTATGGCTTTTCACAAGTCTCAGATAACAAACTAGCGACCATGTCTTCCGCTGCCTGATAAAACCCTGTGATGGGACATGTGAAAACTCATGGGGCAACCATATTGCTTTGAATGTTTCTTTTGCATTGTATTGAAGCATTCAGCGTTGCTGTATTGAAGCACTGAGTAGTGTTGACTTGAAGCACTGAGTAGTTTTGACATGAAGCAGTGAGTAGTGTTGTATTGAAGCACCGAGTAGTGTTGTATTGAAGCACAGAGTAGTGTTATATTGAAGCACTGAGCAGTGTTGACTTGAAGCACTGAGTAGTGTTGTATTGAAGCACTGAGTAGTGTTGTATTGAAGCATTGTGTAGTGTTGTATTGAAGCATTGTGTAGTGTTGCACTGAGTAGTCTTGTATTGAAGCACTGAGTAGTGTTGTATTGAAGCCCTGAGTAGGTTTGTATTGAAGCACTGAGTAGTGTTATATTGAAGTACTGAGTAGTGCTGTATTGAAGCACTGAGTAGTGTTGTATTGAAGTACTTAGTGCTGTATTGAAGCACTTAGTAGTGTTGCATTGAAGCATTCTGCATTGTTGTATTGAAGCACTGAGTAGTGTTGTATTGAAGTACTTAGTGCTGTATTGAAGCACTAAGTAGTGTTGCATTGAAGTATTCTGCATTGTTGTATTGAAGCACTGAGTAGTGTTGTATTGAAGCACAGAGTAGTGTTGTATTGAAGCATTCAGCATTGCAACTCACTTGAAGTAGGACTCTGGGTAGTTTACAGGTCGCTTGGCACCCGGCAGGTGAGAGTATCCGGTACTGCGAAGCAGCTTGCACACATCGTCGATGTTTGAGTCTGCTGCCGCAGCCTTTTGGGCGCTGTAACCCAGAAGCAGGAGCTAGCATGTGTTTTATTCTTGGGTCTGATTTCTGTATCTTGAAAATGATAATATTCCAGCTATATGACGGCAGTTTGTAAATACTCAAGTCTGGGCCAGACAATCCAGTGATATGACATCATGAGCATTGATCCACACAGTTGGGATACAATGACTTGCATCAACCAAGTCAGCGAGCCTGACCACCGGATGTCGTTAGTCGCCTTTTATGACAAGCATAGTCAACTTATTACGGCAAGCATTGGTTGCTCAAGACCTATTCTAACCCGGATTTTGGCACGTCAAACCTGTGAAGAAGTGATCACAGCTGCTTACAGACTGTCACAAATATAAGTTGTCTACTTGTGTGCAATGTCCCACCTGTATCTGTAGTAGGAGACGAGCATCCGCTCTCTCACCAACCCCTCCACACGGATGTCAATTATCAGCAACATCACCCCGTACAGGTACAGAGCCTCACACTAGGGTATAAACAACATGTTTAGTAGCATCACCCCGTACAGAGCCTCACACTGGAGAATAAACAACATTTACAGTAGCATCACCCTGTACAGAGCCTGACACTGGGCAATAAACAACATTTACAGTAGCATCACCCTGTACAGAGCCTGACACTGGGCAATAAACAACATTTACAGTAGCATCACCCCGTACAGAGCCTGACACTGGGGAATAAACAATATTTACAGTAGCATCACCCTGTACAGAGCCTGACACTGGGGAATAAACAACATTTACAGTAGCATCACCCTGTACAGAGCCTGACACTGGGCAATAAACAACATTTACAGTAGCATCACCCTGTACAGAGCCTGACACTGGGCAATAAACAACATTTACAGTAGCATCACCCTGTACAGAGCCTGACACTGGGCAATAAACAACATTTACAGTAGCATCACCCTGTACAGAGCCTGACACTGGGCAATAAACAACATTTACAGTAGCATCACCCTGTACAGAGCCTGACACTGGGCAATAAACAACATTTACAGTAGCATCACCCTGTACAGAGCCTGACACTGGGGAATAAACAACATTTACAGTAGCATCACCCTGTACAGAGCCTGACACTGGGGAATAAACAACATTTACAGTAGCATCACCCTGTACAGAGCCAGACACTGGGGAATAAACAACATTTACAGTAGCATCACCCTGTACAGAGCCTGACACTGGGCAATAAACAACATTTACAGTAGCATCACCCTGTACAGCGCCTCACAATTGAAAATAACACCATGTACAGTAACATCACCCCGTACAGAGCCTCACAATTGAAAATAACACCATGTACAGTAACATCACCCCATACAGAGCCTCACAATTGAAAATAACACCATGTACAGTAGCATCACTCATACAGGCACATTCAAGACCATTCAGCATGCAGAGTTGCGTCCCTTGGGCACGCCAAAAACCTCTGATTGTGGGTTCGAATCCCGGTTCGCCCCTATTATGTTTCTAGGTTTCTCAGCACCATACCCGTGCTCGTGGGTTTCACCGAAGTGGTAAACGTCTGAGACCTGCATCACTTTGGGCTTTCCTCCCACACTAAGCTGACACACCGCGATATAACTGGAATAATGTTAAAAGTGGCGTTAAACAAACTCACTCACTCACCATTCAGCAACTTACCATGAGCTGTTTTCCATCCTCGTTAAGCAGGACCGACTCCACAGTCTGCTGGATGTACACTCCCTCCTCCAGATCCTCCAGGTACCTGCAGATATTATACATATTACATCCAGCTACCTGCAAATAACACACACACACACACACACACACACACACACACACACACACACACACACACACACACACACACAAAAACACACACACAAAAACACACACACAAAAACACACACACACACACACACACACAAAAACACACACACACACACAAAAACAACAACCAAAACACACAGAGTAGTATGGCTGTTGCTAGGTGGATGTCACATCCTTGCATCTTGCAACAAAATTTCACAAATGATGCCATAGGTTATTGTGACAACATGTAAACTTTCTTTGTGGTGCAGGGCCCTGTTCCACAAAGCAAATGTAGCCAAACAACAGTTATAAGATTATGTTAAAGAATGGGAGTTAAGTTCACCTAACAACTATGACAGCTTTGTGGAACGAACCACTGAATACTGAAGCCAGGTCGTTGTATGGTATCATATTAACACATGTCAACTTTTAATCAGTTTGGAGTATTTTTCTGTTAAACTCAAATGGAGTATGCTGTGGATCGTGTAGATGTCTGCCCATTGACACACGACAGTGAAATTTATAAAAAATAGTCATAAACGGCAAATTCTAAATAAAATACTAAACTCGCTCCTGTGTAATACCAATTTTATGAAACTTGTGAATAGTTCTTTTATCTGACTCGTATTCTATATATTCTATATATTAGTACTCTATATATCTGTTGCTCAGTAAATGAAGGGCCAACCATGATAGGATGCCTAGATTCCTAGTTGACAAGCAGGAGATGTTAACTTTGTAAGAAAAGTAATCAGTATTATTCCATTGAACAGCTTACATCTCATACCATATCAAGGTAAAAATGTGTCCCAAGACCATATTTATTGCTGATTTATCAGATAGTGTCTTAAATGTCAAAATTTATTTCAAGGCATTTTTAGGCTGTACGTATGCACTCACATAAATTTGGTGATGTATTAATTTCATGATTTACAGAATATCGTGACCTTCTTCAGATATATCCAATAATTGAGGTCATTTGGCAGTCCTCCCCCCTTGTAAAAGAACTAATTACCAGTATTAAATCCAATAAAACACATAAAAGATGTGTACCATCTACATTGCAAGAAAAGGAATTCATTACATATTACTAAATATTTGATAGAGATATTCTGAGTGTCCATATGGGGGATAAATCTGACTGGATGTTTGAGGTATCCTAAGGATAGGAAGTGATTACATATTTAACTGATGTTTAACCCTATGAAATGTTGATATATTGGTTCTAAAATTATATACCATTGCATTGCTCTCACTAACCTGTTTAGATCTGTGACATATTTATGTACACTTGCAAATGCTTGGTAAAACCTGATAAGAATTTCAATGTGGTTTTCTCTGAACTCTTCATCAAGATCTTGTAATTCCTGAAACAAAGACAACAATAAAGCTGAGGAAGAGAATTTATGGATGTCAACTTCTTTATTATCAGGAACACATTTCGGAGTATATGCTTACTCCTTCATCAGGTTAATGAATGCTTACTTACTTACTTACTTTGGAGATTTAACGTGCGCTTTCCGACTGATGCGTATTTCGCACACGGGCCCGGCCAGGCCATTTAAAGTGTTTCCGAAAGGGGCGAAAGTGGTCTGTGCAACCCAAGAGGGGGGTTTTAGGGGTTGCTTATATAGAATTTGGGAATTTTGAGATTTGGAATAGATGCCGATGGGATTAGGGAGGAGAACTAAGGGAGCTGGGTATGGTGGATGTTTGTTTGTTTATGTGATTTTGATTTGGTAGGTTATTGTGTTTTGAATGATGAATGCTATGAGGCAGAGAGTATATATATGTTCATGTAAGGACAACAAAATTAATAAGGTAAGAAAAGGTGGGAAATACCAAAGGGTAGAAACTAACAAGGAAAGCCAACAAATGATTGGCACTGACAGGTGATTGGCAATAGAGAATGGAAGCCAACACTTTACAGCAATTAGCACTGATAGTATGGAAGCCAGTACATGTTCTCACATGTACATATATATGCTCTCTGCCCCATGGCATTCATTTACCTGATCATGCTGATGAAGGAGTAAGCATATACTCAGAAAGGTTGTGTTTCTCATGATAAAAAAGTTGACATCCATAAATTCTCTTCTTTATGTGTATCACTTCTAAATGCCTTTCAAAGACCTAACAATAAAGCTGAAATACAGATTTATTTCTCAATTTCTCTTCCCTTTCATATTCAATAGACAGACAACTTCTAAACAAAGGTCTTAATTAAGTTTAACATGGCATTTGATGACAAGATTTTCATAGAAATTCAAATGTCAAATGAAAGAGAGCTAGACAAAATGCACTGTTTACTATTTCAAGTGATGTCTAGACATTGTAATTACTGCCCGTGAGAAAGTTTGAAGCAGACATTTTCTCCATTACCATGATAACTGCCACCGCCATACAGCTACTGCCAGATGGAACCAGGTGTAAAACATTTGCAGACAATTCCAGTGTTGTTTGAGTAATCAGATACACATTGTTAAATAGTCAATTAAAAGCTTTATTGGTATATACATTTCAGAATGCAGTTGAGTTAAGGAGGGAATTATGGGGATGCCTGTCATGCTAGTTACACGGCTACTATAAGACAGTTCAACAGTATTTCAGTCATAATATGACATGGCAAGTATAGACAAGAGTGTCAATACCAAATGCTGCTCTCCTTTCCGTTTCCAGAGAGTATTACTCTTGTAATATCAAGCAACTTTGATCTGTTTGTTTGTTGTTTAACACCTCATTCAGCAAGGTTCCAGCTATATGAAGGCAGTCTGTAACTAAGGGAATTTGAGCAGACAATCCAGTGACTGACATCATGAGCATTGATCTGGGCAATTGGGATACAATGACAATCAAGTCAGTAAGCCTGACCACCCGATCCCATTAGTAGCCTCTAGATATTATGTTTTTTATGCCACTTCTCAATATAGTCCAGCCAAATATCACAGCAAGGGACACCAAATATGGGCTTCACACATTGTACCTCTGAGTGGAATCAAACCCTGGCTTTAGATGTGACTCGAGAATGCTTTTTAACAACTTGGCTACCGCACCACTCTTGCCTCTTATTACAATCATAGGTTGCTGAAGACCAACTTTCACAGGGGAATCCAGTGGTTGATATTATGAGCAAAGTCCCATGGTGTCAGGCACAATGAAAAGAATCAACAGACTTCGACAGCATGAGGTGACGAGGGGACATGCAATAGATCAGCTGCTACTTGAATACTTACCACTCGAGACTCTATCTTATTATCAAAATAGTCAGCATTACGGAAGTAGCTAAAATCGGACAAGATTTCACTGTATTTCGCCTGGTCATAACGGTTATCAAGTCTAAACACAGTTGGAATAAAGTCAGCGAGACGCAAAAGTTCCGCAATGATGGCGTTTCCTCTCGACGCCAGACGGAGAAGGTTTTGGCCGCATTGGTTGTTTTCTGCTAAGAAGTCCGCCATTGTCAGGAACTTTAATCTCCGGAACCAGATAAGAAATGTTTAGTTTTCTCCACAATTTATGGCACTGTCGAACAAGGAAACAGTCCCCTATAGCTGTCTAATACCAGAATTCAATTATGACAAGGCCTCAAGTCTGACGCCCAGTCGTAGCAGACGATCTTGTCTTGCAGATAGGAAGTGCTTGGGGAATCTCCCCCTCCCAATGAAGTGAATTCAGAATTCACCTGATTATGCTATACAATTCCATTTAATCCATGTGTCATTCAAAAGCACAAAGGAAGCACCAAATGTCATCACAACATTGACTAAGGAGCAAAGTTTGTTTACATCACCGCCTCCTAAATTCAGAATCACATGAATCGCGACAGCGCCAGCTACTTCCGTGAAGGATTCGGATTTAGAGTAACCTCCCTTGCATTACCAGCCGCCAAGCTCCTTCCCAGCGCGTGACACCTCCGTTACACCCTCGAGCTATCGCTGTGAGGAACTTGACCAGTGGACACTTCAGAGAAACATCAGAAATGCCGTCTTTTTAACAGGGGTAGATCTAAGTGCTCTCCATGCCAAACCGGTAGCAATTACCATTTTCCCCCGGACAGTAAAATCTGTGATTTCACCCGAGCACAAGCAGCATGAATTTAAGCAAGTTTTTACCCCTTTTAATTAATATTTAATCGTTATAGTGTTTATATACGACACTCAATAAAAAGTTCGATATTTTTATCTTTACTTTTGGTGTCATCTGGCGCGATAACGACGAGTCGATAACTAGGTGCTTAAAGCGTGAAAACGACATTATTAATTCATACAAGTGTACTTGCCTTTTTTAGCTTTATTAGGATCTGTATCAATGTATGACCTTTGTTTGAAGAATATATTTTACAAAACAAAAACTGCACGAGTTGTTGTTGGTTGACTGCGTGAACAAATGTACTGACAAGGTTGTTGGAATAATTATACGTTTGAACAGGTTTCACAGCAGGCCATTGAAGAAATCTGTGCTTGTTGAAGTCATTTGGGGGCGTTTTGTTCGTCCATGTATTCCCTCATAGTATTTCAACTACCGTGCCGCGTGGTTTGACCGCGAATAGCTCTGCACACTTCCTCATGTGGCGTTGAGAAATAACGCATTCACTTTCTTGTTGAATGAAAGCGAAAACAAAACAACATTTCCATAATCATAAAAAAATGCTCTCCCAGACGCAGCTCTAGTGTTCATTGTATGATTCCGACTATATTATAAGTATGTGTTTATGAATCAATATATCAAATAGTGATGATTGCAGGTGTTCGCGAAAAGGTGAGCGTATCCTGCCCCACCGGGGGCACCCGCCACAATCACATTCAAAGGCATTTCTGAAAAGAAATCTGGAACAAATGGTACAAGTAAAAATAGGGACTTGGATCAATTTTGTCACTAATTCGTCAAATTTTGATATATCCTCCATATGTCGTAATCTTGATCAAATAACTTTTGAGCAAGATTCGTGTGGCGCTCTGGTCTCCTTCATTTTTAGATGTGTAAATCAGTGGCTTCATTATATCGGATCAACGATATACTTCAAGCTTAAGTTAAATCTCTTGGCCAAATTCCCTTGTTTTGATTTTTCCAGTCCCAGCAGAAATTCCAATTCATATGTACAAAGAAAAAGTTTAGTCGGAAGGGGAGCACTCCTGGTGCCCCAGGTTATGCCTAATTCTTGTCTAAATGCCTTATATAATGCCTTACTTAAATTTGACATGGATGTTATCAATTAGGAAGTCCAGCATTTCACATATTGTTTTCTCAGTAACTTCTGATGACATTTGTTTTCGTTTTGGACAATTTGTCCTGAACCTCCGAAGATAGAGACGTAACTATGGACACATTTGTTCAGCAACAAATGCCCCATAGATCAAGGCATGGCGTTTTTTTAAGTTTGTCGTGTGGGATGGGGTGTTCAAAGTTGAAAAAATCAAATGTTTTGAAATAATTGAACTTGGTTCTTTTCTGAGATCGAAAAACGGATTGTGGTTAATCTTTGAGACAGATATTTGATGGAACATGAGCAGAACCCGGCAATATCTCTCTCTTTGTACGTATTTTTTTGGAACTTTGGAATTCAGTACAAAAGAGGAATGGGCATGTCTTTAAGTTTTAGAGTCGAGTCAAAAGTTGATAAAACTGCTGCGTGGTTTTGGCAGATTTTGTCCTCAGTTAACATACATGCTTTAAACTAGTATGTGGTATTATGTCATATGCCACGGACCCGTGAAGACCCGGGGTAGAAAAGGTCTTCAGCAACCCATGCTTGCCGTAAAAGGTAACTATGTTTGTCGTTAGAGGCGACTAGACTAGATAGGCGAAAGATTTCAGACCCGTGAGGATACGGGGTAGAATAGGTCTTCAGCAACCCATGCTTGCTGTGAAAGGCGACTAACGGGATCGGATGGTCAGACTCGCTGACTTGGTTGATGCATGTCGTCGTATCCCAATTGCGTGGATCGACGTTCAAGATGTCAATCACTGAATGGTCTGGTCCGGACGCGAATATTTACAGACCGCCGTCATATAGCTGAATATTGCTGAGTGCGGCGTTAAACAACAACAACAACAACAACAACAACAACAACAACAAATCATATGCCACGTCTACCAAGTTCTTTCATGCGCCAGAGCCATGGAGATCGTGGCATTCAATTTGCCATGTGTGTCATTTAACACCAGTCCCTTAGCTTCAAGCATTCACGTCAACAGGAAACGCACAAATCTAAATTTAAATATGGCCTGTCACTGCATGGGAAAATAATTCACTGTAATCTGTAATTGCAATGACAAATGGCTTCCATCATACCTAGAGGGATAAATATCCTCACCACGGCGTTCTTTTATAGCTCCCCTGCAATTTGAAGGCAGGAACATGGTATAAATGAGATGTTGAAAAGTCACAACTACCACGACAGTCAACTTGTATGGAAAATCAGCTACCTTTGACTGGTAAACCAACTACCACCAACCATTATTTTAGTTTTGTTAAATATCCACTGCTATACATTGATACAAATTCTAAAATTCATTCGTCACCACTCGCCCCTTTCCGTATCGCTATTCGGCTTGTCCCGGAATAACACGAGTTGGTCACGAATGCCTAAAATTGACACAAAAGTGCGCTGGTATGAAATAATAATGTCGTTTTCGCGGTAAAAAGCACCTACTTTTCGACTTGCCTCGTCCGTGCCCAAGGTAATCAATAATAAAGTAAAAAATATCAAACTTTTTATTGAGTGTTGTATATTAATGCTATAACGATTATGGCCCGGAAGCCCTTGGGTGCATGATGTACCTCAGATTTAGTTCAAAATAGTAATTAAAGGGCTGGACGCTTCATGCTTTATGTGCTCAGATGAAATCACATTTTTTATTGTCCTGCGAGAGAATGTTTGTTTCTACAAACCAACCTACCAACTTCCGGTTTGGCATGGACAGACCTTACCCCCTGTGTTTTGGGATTCCATTTTTACCTTCTGATAATTGAACCTGACTTCACTTAATTTGTTGTCCCTGATAACGTTCTATAACAATAGACAAGTGCCATAATATCTTCACCATAAGAAATATTTCCGTGTCTTATAGAAATAACATTGAACTCTTCTAAAGCGCTAAGATATAGAACCACCAACCCACACGCATGCGCGCGCGTAAGCACGCACGCACGCACGAACGCACAACACGAAACAACAGCATAGAAACTATTTTTTTTCAGCAATAGTCCAGCTGTATGAAGGCGGTCTGTAAATAATCGAGTCTGGGCCAGATAATAAAATGATTGAGCGTCGATCAACGCAACTGGGATACGATGACATGCATCAACCAAGTCAGTGAGCCTGACTACCCGATCCCGTTCGCCGCCTCTTACGACAAGCAACATATCATGTGTACAAGTCAGAAAGAATAAACAAGGAACAATGTGATCACGTGACACGGATGCCACGAAGCGAAATATACATATACCTTTTACGACAAGCATGGGTTGCTGAAGACCTGTTCTACCCCGGATCTTCACAGTGATGCAGATCGATGGCGTGTACTCACTTGATGAAAATGACGGCTGCAATGTGTGGCTGCAAGTACTAGTCCGGACTGATGCCGATTTAAGGTGCTCACTGAGATACCATGCCGCAGTTTAACATGAATACCCCACTCAGACACTGTATACGAACTCCAAGTCGACCAGTCCTTGTTTAAGCCCCTAAATGCCGAGCGCCAGACAGGGAAACAACAAGTACCATCTTTTAACGTCTTTTGGTATGCCGCGGCCGGGGATCGAACCCCGAACCTTCCGCTCTTCGGGCGGACGCTCTACCACAAGACCACGGAATCGGTCTAAAAATCAGGGAAAATCTATTAAAAAACACACGACGGATCCCAGCTGGCATTGCCAAGGTGCGAAACTTTGAACAAAACCATTCTTTTGTCAGAGGTGCACACAAACATTTTATTTATGCGAATTTCTTATCCAGTTTAAATACAATTTTGAAAACATCAAACATGCCGTGACATGTATATTTTCTTCTATTTAAGTTAAAATACATGATATTCCGATACGATATCGATATCATATAGAATAAGTCTTAATAGAGAACAGCGGTAAGAAGTCCTAATGAGTTGTGAAAATTTCAAGTTTAAGAAGAACGGACACATGTGGCTACTTTCAAGTTTTAAAGGAAGTCATCGACCGATATCCAAAGGTTGAAATACCTAAAGTAACATGTGACCTCAATACGTCACAAAGGAATTCCCTTTCTGCACACAATACCAGTGTTAGTTATAACCGTCAGTTAGGACCCTTGTGAATAAAACAACCTTGACATATAACAGCACAAGTCTAAAATTAAGCAGCGCTTGTAAAGAACGATCGATGACTACCTTTACCTGTCCTGGCTACAATTAAAGTCAATATTGGTAAATGCGTAAAGTATATCGGTTCCAACGTCTTTATTCAGCCTCCACACAATATCACAAACTGAATTATACAAAAATAAAAAGCTCTCAAGTGGGCATCGGGGTATCAGCTGTGTATACACAGAAGGTATAGATTCCTCTTCACAGGTACTTCGGACGGGTTGGTATCAATCTTGAGACGACCCCTAAAGTGTTCATTTATTTATAACTTGTCCCATTAAGTAGAAGTGTTCTTTGAATGCCAAAGTAATCACCGCCAGTAGTAATGCCTAAAAGTACGAGCGTTTTATTTCCGATCATAAGTATTTTGTTTTCCAATGTCGTCGGTAGTAGAGAGATGTAGTGGGTACAACAGAATAACGATAATACTGGTTCAGGGCGATGATTCCGAATAAAAAAACGCTGATACTGGTTTAGGGCGTCTTTCCGAGGCGG